TTTTTACCTTTAATCTTCCTCTTATGTTACATCTCGCTATATAATTCCAGAAAAAAATCTCATTATAAAAATCCTTGTGGTTCCGAACCACGTACCTCTTGTTTAGAACGCCGGTGTCTTACCTGTAGACCACCAGAACATCTGTCATAAAGCTTTCTGCGATACTCCTCATATTCTACGACTTGGTTTATAGCTGCAGAATAAATCGTATTTATTTATTCACAATATTATATTTAAGCATCCTGTTGCACTCCATACGATAAATGATATAAACTCCGTCTCAAGTGCAAACAATATATTTGTGTCTTTGATCTTGCTCCCCTACACTACATGTTTCGGCCTCAGACGGCCATCATCAGGTGTATAACACTCACGTCGCTGTCACACTGCACCCAGCTCAAAATTTAACATCTAAAACACTCTCCCTGTCATTAACAACTTCTACTTCGTTGATAGCTGTCCACCCGTAGATTACTTCACACACGTTAATTTTGAGTTTATTGTAATAGCACCATAATAAAATCTTTAGTTCTAATTTTAAACTTTTAAATTCTTCTTACACGTAGTAAAGAATAGCAGCAGCGTGAGCACACGTAGTAAAGAATAGCAGCGGCACGCACACAGAAAGACTACACAGGATAACACCTATACAGTGTGGAAACAAGAACTAGCCGCTGCAGCACTTCAAACACAGGGCGAATAACCCTAACAATTTTAAAATTTTAAAATTTGGACAAAAAATTTTAAAATTTGGACAAGAATTTAAAAGTTTAAAATTAGAACTAAAGATTTTATTATGGTGCTATTACAATAAACTCAAAATTAACGTGTGTGAAGTAATCTACGGGTGGACAGCTATCAACGAAGTAGAAGTTGATAATGACAGGGAGAGTGTTTTAGATGTTAAATTTTGAACTGGGTGAGTGTGACAGCGACGTGAGTGTTATACACCTGATGATGGCCGTCTGAGGCCGAAACATGTAGTGTAGGGAGCAAGATCAAAGACACAAATATATTGTTTGCACTTGAGACGGAGTTTATGTCATTTATTTATTCAGTTTTTAAATTTCTGTTGAGAAAAGACACCGTGGTGTCGAACCCGATACCTTCCCAATACTACGCCAATGTCTTACCCATGTACCACCAGGTCTATGCATATTTGTTACCTTCACCTTCCTCAGATAGTACGACTTGCTTCCTACATGCACACATTTCTTACGTTCTTTTTTTTCACTAAAATAGTCATGTCTTCGAACCACGTAATTTCTAAACCATACTCCAGTGCCTTACCAAAGGCCCACCACGGTTATGACAACTATTCGCCTTCGTCTTCCACATATCCTACCGCTTCGTTTCTACCTTTACAAAAATTCCTCTTTACTGCTTGCTTCGTTTCAAAGTCATTTTACGACTGACGGTTGACCAGTCATTTTCTCTTAATTTAGAGCCCATTCAGACGCTCATGACCAGATCTTAGTCTTGAAGTATGAGGCACTGTTTGGCCTTTAATAGGAATTCTTTCTGATGACAAGACGGATCTATCCCTCCTCACTTGTCACAGTCAATTACTTTCTATATTTCTTCCTTCCTCATCTAAACTACATGTCACGACCTCTACAACTATACATATATACTGCAAATGGCTTTATTGGCAATATATATAATCGAATTTCGAGTTCCACGAATTAAATATAGTGACTAGCCCCACCACATAAGAAAGCTACGAGCCGCCACTGCATTGCTTCTTCATTGTTGCCGGTTTACACTGTTTAGGGAAACAGACGTGATTCGTTATGAGGATCAAATTAAACCCCTAAATAGAATCTGAGGGCAAAACGTAGCTGTTTTAATGTGAAATGGGTAGTAAATGTAATATCCACAAAATGGCGTTCTGGAATCCGTCAAAGTTGCTTATCTATACGCTAATGCTGAGCTACGGCGCATGCGTAAGATCAGCTATATTTTGCGCCGGACGCTGCTGGGCGTGTATTGTGGTGTTGGCTGTGCGAGCAAGTTGTCTGTGGTCATCATGGCGCAAGGTATGTTATTACGTTGGCCTACTGCCGGCTTATTTGCGTCTTTCTGGGAAATTACAGGTTCTACTGTGCTATTTTGTGGATGTGTTGCCTAAACGCAGAAATCGCGTGTTAAGAAACCGAAATCGAATCGTGATTGTTGATGACTTACGTCATTCCTAAAATAGTTCCGTTTCTGAGATCATCCTTGCGCGCAGGCATGCAGCAGGAATGTCGGTCAGAGGAATTAAATTATACTAAGTGCAAAGAGAAGTCAACAGAGAGATTCATGAATATTCAAATTTGATTTCGCGAACTAAGCGGCCTTGTGAGGAGAGAACAAATGATACCGAATCATTCTTTGGTGTCATACGTTTGAATTCCCACAGACTGTTACATTCCTGAGCATGTCTAGTGCAGTAATTGTGTGAAGTTTCCCTTACCGTTCTACAAGCTGTCGTGTTGGCACTGCGGTCTGGTGCGTGTTGCGTTGGAGGCCAATGTAAAAATGTTTCCAAATTCCGTCACCGCCGCAGTGGTGTATAGCATGGAATTTAGAATGATCTAGCTTAGTTGGGTTCTAAAATGTCAGAACAATGCATAAAATTGCAGCCAGTTGGTATATTAGTGAGGTTGATGCACGAAGAAGTCTGCATTGGTGTATGGGATGCAGCTTCGGTTGGAATGTTGAAAAGTTTGTGGGAAGCCGAGGCAGGTTCACGAAGACAATCATTATCTCCAATATGATGTAATTACATCCTAGGTTTGTTTTAACGAGTGTTATACATAACCGATAGTTATAGCTTACGGGACAACATTCTAAAACGCGGAAAGTATGTAGAAAACACGTAAATACATTTTCAGAACAGGGTGTATGCGCATGCGTGCGTCTTATATTGAGAGGCCCAGTTTCCGGTCTGGCATCGTTCGTTGCTAGGTTACGAGAGAAGCAATAGGGGGTAGAGGGATGTGTCATGGGCTGCAGCAAGTTTTACCATCTTAACACACGATTCCTCCAGTCATTTTCTTCTTCTTTTGTTTATAAGACGCAAATTTGAAGTGGATTGTCTCTCTATCCACCCATTCAGTGCAAATTTCAGGCATAACCAGGTCGCTCCGGCCATACCGCCAGAATTTTGTTTTTAAATTCAAACGTTTAAAAAAAAGTCACGTGGTTTCATGTTTCAAAACATGTAAACTAGATCGTCCTCGTGATAAGAACATCGTCCCTGCCTCAGGGGCGGTTACAACATTATTTTAGGCGAACTTATTGTGTTTCCCCTTGAGATTAATTGCAACATTTCATATTTAATCCTGAAGATTTCTGGTGAGATATAATACAATTATATCGGTACGATTATATATTTTAATTTTTCTTTGGCATTAGATACTTATCTAATGGTGAAAAGAAACTGGAGTTGCTTCAGTGGAATGGATTCTTAACATTAAATTGTAATTTTATACATATTACGGTGTTCCTGGCTACAGATGATGACTTCACGAGTTCGATTCCTGGCGCTACCAAATTTTCTGAGAAGTGGTGGGTTTGGAACGGGGTCTACTCAGCCTCGTGAGGATAATTAATTAGCTGTTTCAAGGAAATAGCGGCTCCGGTCTAGAAAACCGAGATTAACGGCCGTGGGGATGCATTGCGCTGACCACGTGACACCCTCTATTTGCAAAAGTTGGCACTAACTTCGCCTACAAGCGGCGGTCGCTCGGTCAGTATAGTTCGCTTGTGGACTACAGCCCACGGAGTTTGTTAGTAATATTTGAATCAGGTGTTGGGTTTCATGTAAAGTGGACATCATGTGAGCGAATGTAGCGTCCTGAAGGGAGACACTCTTTCATGCAGTTAGTGTCCGTGCAATCCCGAATGCTGCTTGTAGTGACCTCCAGTAGGTAATTAAGTTGAAAGCAGTTTCAAAGGCTCCACATACGGACTGGTGGGTGAACCCAGTATCTTCAGTATATGCAAATTATATTGTTACGTGATATATGGGGTTTGGATTTGTAATCGGTTTTATCGGACACTTAAAATCGTAAGTACAAATAACTACGACAGTCTCACTGAGTTTCTCCAAAGATGACTGTAACTACAGCACACAAAATTCTTCTCAGTTTTCTCTAGCCGTTGTTTGGTAGCGGCTTACAATGGTGGATATTCCCCTTCGCCTGGGTTCGCGAACTGGCCCTAACCTCAGCTTTCAGCTTCTCACAACTGCAACTCTTAACTTACCACGTAACGCTAGCATTGCGAACCGAGTTGGGGCTCTGTTGTGTCACGGAAGAATTATCTGGAGATTTGTCACCGAGGAGTGCAGCGTCTGGGATACTTTCTTCGTGCTTGTTTGGGAGCATCGATTTCTCTACTCGATGCAGTGTACCCAAAGAAGGTCATTTTCGGGGGAGGGAAGTATCTTATCGACCGAGGAAGATATAATGGGGTGGGTGTAATATAAACACCCCTCCACTGTAACGCCCTTTGGGCATTGTTTTTATTGCTAGTGGGCTGGGACTAAGTCCCTTGTACTGCGGCCACTTCTGGCCAATTGTACCAGCCCCAGATGATAGGTGAGGGTGATTGTGGAGCAGTTGGTGGAATGAAGATTGGCAGGGGAAACCGAAGAGTTGGTTTGGAGATAGGTACTAGCTTTGTCGATTGAGCCCAACTGGGTAGGTTCCATCTGAAGACGGAGACAGAATCCAGTTGTGCCTTAAATAAAAACATGTCAGTGGATACTGTCAAGCAACACAATCGTATTGACAGCCCTCGTCTGAAACTTTTCTTTCCGTATGGTCCAACAGAATTAGAATTTGCTTTATATTACGTAGATTTGCCCATTATTTGTGGTTTATTTATTTATTTAAAGATCCTGTAAGCATCTGAAGACTGTGTAGAGCCAGATGAAATGGTGATGAGTGAATTGGAAAGGCGAAGGGAGCTCTCGTGGACCAATTTGAGCTGCTATGTCAGCATTTGACTGCAGGAACCGAGGACAGTCACAATAGCCTGTCTCCGGACGGATCCCTGGTTAGGTCTGCTTGCAGCAAGTGTTGAGGGAGATTTCTATAGGTGAACCTTCTCAGTCTCTTTACCCGGGCAGCCCCTGAGCAGTCCGGATAGCGTAGTCGGGTACGGGGGGTTCTCTCCCCGGGGCTAAAACAGCCTGGGCGTGAAACTGACCACTCACCTCCGTCTAATTCCGAGGTCAAGAAAATGTGGATCTATACATCTACTCTCCCATACGCCTTCTTGGCGTGGTACTTAATTAATTCAGCACAGGGACAACTTTACCTTTACACGGGCAGTCGCTAAGTAGCAGCCTGGGTGGGGGGAGCTCGAGTGTGTAAGATTACCCACGTTAAAATAACGCCTGCTTCTTGGAAAAACTTGAAGAGAAAGCAAATAGTTGGAGAGCCTGGGTTCTGTTCCCGGTGTGGACGAAATTTTTCCGTTTCGTTCCACAGCGTCCAGACTGACCCGGTGGCTCACCCACCTTCCTATTAGATGGGTGCCAGAGGTAAAGTTGGCGGAGCGAGGTGACTACTCACGACATTTTATGTCAAGGTCAGAAACGTCTTAAGTTTTACCTCCACCCTCTCTTTATTTAGATACATTCACTTTGGCGATTTTGGAAGATGTCGGGTGTAGCAGAATGTGACGTCAGCCTGTCACGCAAATCGGATTTTCAAATGGTGATTCATGTCAGCGTGATTGAGTTACATCATGGCGTGCTGACCCAGAACACGGGACCCGCTCAGCTCCATACTGGGAGTATGCGATTGCGAACCAGTACGTCGACTGGACTGAAAATGTTGCTCGTTAAGTATCACAGTTATTTCATCATATTTATAACCGGCCCTACTGTCAGATGTTAACACTTGTTAATTGAAGGCATTACCAAGATAATAAGAACCAGTCGCCTAAAGTCAGGATAGCTCGATATAGCGATGGGCTGCGGGCTGGGCGGCCCGGGTTTGATCCTCGGCATGGCAAGATTTTCTCTCCATAGCATCTAGACAGAATCTGGGGCCCATAAAATTAGCATCGGGGACTCTTTTCCGCCCGTGGATAAAGAGGCAGGGGCGTGAAGCAGACCACTCACCTCCATCTGATGCCAAGGTCAAGAATATGTGGATCTATACATCCACTCCTCAATGCCTTCATGACGTAGTACAGGACAAATTAAGCACAGGGACAACACTGCCTTTACCTTACCAATGGCCTACTTTCCTTTCACTACTTACAGAGTGTTTGATACGACACGGACTGCACAGAGATCACCTCCAGCAGTTCTGTTGTGTGTAGTTGCCAGGGGAACGTGTTGTGTCTAACGTGATGTTAACAAGGACAGGAGTCGTGTTCTGCTCGTATGCAGGAAAATGTTACCAGCATCTGGCTTGAAGCCGGGACAGGGGGTTGGGATGAAGGTATTATTTTCTTTTATTGCTAGTGGGGTGGAACTAAGTCCCTTGTACTGCGGTCATTTCTGGCCTATTGTACCAGCCCCAGATGATAGTTGAGGGTGACTGTGGAACAATTAGTGGAATGAAGATTGGCAGGGGAAACCGAAGTACTTGGAGAAAACCTGCCCCAGCGGCACTTTGTCCACCACAAATCCCACTTGATCGAACCCTGGCCGCCGCGGAGGGAAGCCAGCGACTAACCGCTTCAGCTATGGCGCGGCCTAGGATGAAGGTAACGGAATGTACGTTTCCATGGAGACACCGAAATGTTTGTAACCGTGACAGTCCACGGGATTGAATTCGGACTGGCGTTTTTATACGAAGTGTCAAATATAAGAACCGGGAAGGTTATTATAGCGGTAGCACCGTAGACTTGTATTCGGGACTGCTGGGTTCTAATATCGACTGAAACACTGGATATCCAGAAGGGTTTATTGTGGCCTTCCTGGGTCCGTAAAAGTAAAGTTGTCCCTGTGCTTAACTAATTAAGCACACTACTCCATGAAAGCGTGTGGGGGAGTGGATGTATAGATCACATTTTCTTGACCTCGGCAGTAGTTGGAGGTGAGTGGTCAGCTTCATGGCCGGGCTCCTTTACTCCCGGGGAAAGAGCCCCTTGTACCCATTGGATAGGAGGCCAGGTAGGCCCCAGAGCCGGTCTGGACGACAGAAGAGAAAATACATGACCCCACCAGGATTCGAACTTTGGTCCCTCGGTCGCCGAGCCCGTAATCAGTCGCTATACTGACTACGCTAGCCCGGCTCTCCTCCTGGGCGCGTACAAGCCAATTCCCGGGATAGTACAGCGGTTAGGCCATGGCTCCTTCCTTCCAGATCCTTTCCAGGTCAATATTCGGCACGGTATATGCAGCGTCATAAAGTAAGCCGCAAGAAAAACAAACAAATGAAACTGTAAGCTTTCGGTCACCGCGGATCGAAGGGCGCTTCCGATCGTTGTAAAGGAACAGTGATGCAGCGTTCCGACCCTGCAGAAGTAATCCCCCCCCGCCATCGCCCTCGGTTGTGACTGTCGGGAGCCCGGACTATATGGTGTCGAGTGGCAGGAAGCTTAATGACTGATGAATTTGAAAGTATGCGAAAGAAGGCGGTTGCTTGATGGAATTTGCCCGCAGGGAGTCCGGAAAACAGCATGATAGCCAGTGTCCCGGTTGAGACTCGAACCCGGCATATCTCGAACATAAGTCAGGAGCTTTGCCGCTTCACCAGTCATGAATGACGGAAGGCACGAGAAAATAGAACACCCATATGGGACCCCCACCCCACACTCCCGGGCTCTGGCGTTATGGAGCCCGTAGACCTGAGCGTGAAACAGGCCTGTTCCGTTGCATTCATCGGGCAACCCGGAAATGAGGGAAATGACGTCAAGAGACGAGGAACAAAAACATTCTAGAAGAGGGAATGCATTAACGGTAATTTTATACGGTAATAATAATAAAGGAAAGTGTTCTGGCCACGTCCAAACCGGCTCTGAAACCCACTCAGCCTTGTATCCAATCGATACCGAGGGAGTTTCCCAGGGTAAAACGGTCGAAGCCTGACGCTGACCACTCGCCTTCATCTAGTGCCTAGGTTAAGAATGAGTGGACTTATATCTCAACCCCACTCGACCGTTTTACCCCGGGAAACTCCCTCGGTGTCCACTGGATATGAGGCTGAGTGGGTTTGAACATGGTCAGAACAGTTTCCTTTATTAATATTATTATTATTATTATTGTTGTTGTTGTTGTTGTTGGGACAATATCGTAGCTGGGCAACGGGCTGAACGACAGAGGAATCGGGTTTGATATCCGGGAGTGGCAGACATTTCTGTCCCCTCCAGAGCGTTCAAACGGACTTAGGGTGCCAATCCAGAGAGTCCTTTCCAAAGGATACAGGTGACGCTATCCTCGAACGTAAAGTTTCCCCATACGTCTTTATGGCATGGTGCTTAATTAAGCCCTGGAATATTAATGCTACTACTGGTGGGCCGAGATAGCCCAGGTAGTAGGCCTAACGCGAATAGCTACTGGCGGAAAGACCAGAGTTCTATTTCCTGTGGGAAAAATGAATTTTCTCTTCTCTACAGTAACCGGACCGGCTTTGGGCCGAACTCATCGCCCGGCCGATAGGTACGTTGGGAGGGCCGGCTTTGGGCCGAACTCATAGCCCGGCCGATAGGTACGTTGGGAGGGCCGGCTTTGGGCCGAACTCATAGCCCGGCCGATAGGTACGTTGGGAGGGCCGGCTTTGGGCCGAACTCATAGCCCGGCCGATAGGTACGTTGGGAGGGCCGGCTTTGGGCCGAACTCATAGCCCGGCCGATAGGTACGTTGGGAGGGCCGGCTCCTCTATACGAGCTTTCTTCGTATGGTGCCGACGTCTTCTATTGATTTTTCCTCCTCAGCTTAATCGAATCACAGGACTCCTTCAGGAATGGATGCAGACAGGTACGCACGTACGTACCAAGGGGCCTGGGTTCAGTTTCGGGAGGTAGCTGAGAGTAACATGAGGTCTTGTCCTAGCAACAGGGCGAAGTAGTCGTGGTTCTGAAGAAGGGTTCTTGTGCGACTGGGGGACATGACACAGCTAGGTACACAAATTGAACGAGGATGCAGTTGGCTCAGGGTAACTTACTGCCATTAAAATAGCAATATTTCCAGCATGTAGCATTTAAGGATCTGACAACGGTAATTGTGAAGGCAATGGAGACACACAGGGCTGTGAGACGTCGAGGCTGCCACATTTTTCTAGACAATCGACTGACAGATGGCGATGAGGTTGTCAGCTTTACGCCCCGGTACTTCTTTCTGTTAGAGGCTGAGTCGACCCTAGGGCCAAAGTGCGGCCGGAAGGATTAGGTAATTGAAAAATGAGGTGACCTCATCAGGAATGGAACCCCAGATCTTCCGGCTTGTAGCATAGTGCCTCAACCAACTACGCAACCGCGTGCCCCTGTAACAGAAGGCGGTATGCAGTTTCCCTTCTAACAACTTGAGTACTCCCAAAACTCAGCCGGGCGCGTGGTTCTGGCCCTGGAATCTTCGGTGGACACATGAAGGGCCTAAACCGGTCGCCAGTTGCCTGTTTTGAAAGAAATGTTTCCAAACTTTGGCTTTGAGCAAGGGCGGGGTGAGTTTCAGCCTGCTGACCGCATGTGTCCAGTGTGAGACCTAGGCGTATGCCGTTTCTGGATTTGCGCGGTTTCAGTAGTTAACAATGAGGAGGGTTCGGTCAGGTACACACGTAACAATGCATCTCAGGCTAAGGCGTGGCCAAGCGACATTTTCACTCGCGTGGCTATGTGGAAACAGCTCCATCAAAGTGAGGCCCTTGCGAAGTCACGTCACAAACAATTGTGTAGAAAGAGCCTAATATGGCCTAATCGTGAAACTGACCATCCTGATCAAGTGGTTTCGTGCGGCATGTACACCCTATGTCTCGGTACGTAAGTGGACAACTTGAACATTGTTATTACAGACTGCTGCAACAATTGGTATTACTTTCCACTGCTCGAAGCCATAAAGTTCATCTGAATGTTTTAATTTTCACAAAGTTCCCCTATTAAAAAAATTAAATTTGTCTTACGAGATCACCTTGCTGTGTGTCTGTATGTATATCCTCCTGCTAGACAGCAGCTCTGTAAAGAAGTTCCTCGGTAACGAATACACACGCAAGAATGGACGCGTCGTTTTCTGTGGGGTCCGTGTTGTAAAGGTAAAGCTGTCCCTATGCTTAACGAATTAAGCACTACGCCATGAAAACGAATGGAGAGTGAATGTATAGATCCACGTTTTCTTGACCTCGGAACCAGTTGGAGGTGAGTGGTCAGCTTTACGCCCGTGCCGGAGAAAGAATCCCTGGGTACCCATTGGATAAGAGGCTGGGTGGGCCCCAGAACCGGTCTGGACGACCCACGGTCGTCTAGCTTCGCTGGTCCGTGTCGTTATCAAAGGAAAATATACGATTAATTCTTCCCAGATCTTGTTTAAATTCAGTTCCTACTCCACAGAAAACGAACTGCTTCTCTGTTACAAAGGTCAGGCGCTTAATACTGTGTGGAGAAATACTTGGTGTTTACTGTGAGATTCATAAGGAACACGTAAATACACTGTGTGGGCAAAGTGCGGAGTTTTCGAATGACGCATGTGGTACAGATAGTGACCACTGTATTTATGGCGACGCGGAACGCCGTACCTAATGGTGCTCTCACCTATGTAACGAAGACCCGCCGAGCCGTCCAAGAGCCGCTCCCTTTCCATGGCGATGCTGAATCCAGACTGGCGCCCTTGCTAACCCCGACCTCTGACGTATTGGCGGCTGCACGTGACCGACGGCTGTTGGGGCTGGGTATTACCACGTCATTATGTCGTCCCTCCATATTCTTCTTCTCTTTATGCTCTCACATTCCGCCGTTTATCATCTAAACCCTCTTCGTTTCCCTTTTCCTTCACTTTCTTCAATTCGTCCTTCTTCGTCTCGGGTCCATCCTTTCTTTCTTCGTATCTTTGATGGCTGCGAGACAGTTGTCTGTAACGGCCTCGAAATCCTGTCATGTGAGTGATGACGAATCCAGTTTGGCTGTTAGAGCGTCGCCACATTGCTGAAGCATGAAGGTTAGGGGCGAGAGACATTGAAAACGTTAACATCCTATCAAAGAAATCTGTTACAGTTTGCTTACAGCCCGCCGTGCATATGTACGTCACAGCGTGTCGGTTCACTGCCCCCCTTCCTTCCCGGTCAGGAAAGCTGGTAGATTCACTGCGAGACTAGGTGTCCTAGATCTGTGCTTTTGGGCCTGCGCGACTCGTGGAAATAGAAATCATGAACACTGTTATGTTGTTGCGAATGAAGAGACTTCTGCTCCCCGTCCGTGAAAGTATATTCCAGGTGTTTAAAATATATATATTGGTGTATTCTACCTAAGAGCGATTAAGGGGTGGACACGCGGTAGTGTAGGTGGTTGAGACCCCATGCTACACACCGGAAGGTCGCGGGTTCAGTTCCATATGTAATTGGATTTTTCAATTGCCCTTACCCTTCCAGCCGCACTATGGTCCAGGCGTCGACTCAGCCTCTGACAGATATGAGTACAAGGAATATTCTTGGGGGTAAAAGGGCGGCCGGCGCGTAAGGCTGGCAGCTTCATCGTCATACATGATCCGATTCTCTAGAAAATGTGGGAGCCTCGACGTCTCACAACCCTATGGGACTCCATGGCCTGTTACAGGGACAACTTTGCCTTTAGCTTTAAAAGCAATACATAAATTACATAAGAAAGAACTTAGTCGTTTGTGCGTATTGCGAAATGTTATTATAATGATCGTGTCAAGAATGATGAGATGTGCAATTCGTGGGAATGAGTGCTTACAAAATTTTGCTAGGGAAGCGTGAAGGAAAGAGACCACTAGGAAGACCCAGGCATAGGTGGGAGGGTATTAATCTGAATCATAAAGAGAGAAGATTGAGAAGTAATGGACTGTCAGTGGCGAGCTCTTGTGAACACGATGGTGAACATTCCGGTTACATTAAATGCTGGGAATTCGTTGAGTGGCTGAGGAACTGTTACCTTCTGAGGGAGAACCCATCGGTGTAGTTAGTTATTCAGCCATTTTGGCCCAGAAAAATGACAACTCTAAATCTCATGGGCACAGAACCAGTGTGAGGGGAGACGGGAGTTCCTAGAGACCTGACATGAAGACAGAATCAGCTCTAGTGTTCTGAACTGGCCACAAATTAGGGAAATGCTTGCTGCCACTCCGTTTAGAATCGTTTGTCGTCCTGTGTGCCATGGAAAAGCAAAATTGATTTCTGTGTTTGTAGAATGTTGTCTCTGACTACATGAGAGGCGTACAGGCGGGGGCGGGTTTGAGAATATTTGGACAGAAGAGGGAGGAAGTAACAAGAATATTAGAGTTAATTTTACCGACCACACAACACGACCACGAGTAGCCATCACATCATCAGAGGATGCCGAAGAACAAGACCTTCAAAAGTGAAAGTGCAGTCAATGTGATGAGTTGAAGTTTATTTCATGAACTTTTTAACCAAGTGGTGATAATATAACTAGCTACAGTGAACTAAATTTTAAATTCTAAATTTTAACTTTTAACATTTGTATTTTAACTTATATTTTATAAGAAGAACTTGACACACATTATTTGAGCGTGGACCTGAACAGGATACAGGATCAAAATAAGTGGAAAAACGAATGTGATTGCGTGTGATTGTGCAACTGTGTTCGTACACCTGAGGATGACCTCTTGAGGTCGAAACATGTAGTGTGACAGTAAATAAAAACGTGTTGTGTGGTCGGTAAAATTAACTCTAATATTCATTTAATACACAACAGGATGCAAGGAACAATTAGAAGTAACAAGAGGTTGGAGGAGACCGTGTGGCTGTTATTCGTATTTCTACTCTACTAAAGAGCCAGAACAGCGCAGTCGTCATAGCAAGTGGCTACGGGCTGGACGATCTGAGTTCGAGTCCTGGCAGGGTCCAGAATTTTACTTTCTCCACGTTATCGAAAAGGCTCTGGGGCCCACCAAGCCTCCTATCCATTGGGTACCGGGGACTCTTTCCCTGAGGATAAAGCGACCCGGGCGTGAACCTGACCACTCACCTCCAATTAGTGGCGAGGTCAATAAAATTTGGGTCTATATATCCACTCCCCCATACGCCTCTATGGCATAATGCTAAATTAGTTAATCACAGGGACAGCTGTGCCTTACTCTCCTAATATAACTAGGGCGATTAAGTCGAGAGCGATGAGATTGGCGGGGTATGTAGAATTCACGCGAAAGTTTAGAGAAGTACACACAGCTGTAGCCTGAAAGCCTCGATGCTTCTTGAAGGCGCAGGTGAAAGGGAAGCGTGAAAGTGTTTATTCACTGAGTAGTATGCGAGCGGGTGCAGTAACTTAGGCTACATTTTGTGAACACAGTGATCAGCGTATCCGAAAACGCGACGAATTTCCCTGCGAGCTCAGTCACTATCAGCCTGACAAGAAGTGGGGGTTGGTTAGTTGCTTGGTTGGAATTATTTCAGTATTTAAATGCCCCATTGGAGGATCTAATGAGCTCGGCGCCTGTTTGTGTTAGTTTACGCAATTCGTTTTCAGACAGTTGCTAAGCGGGCGCTAAATGCAAGAAGCCGTAGAATGTATGTAACAACGATCCACCGCGATGCGTTGAAGCGAAGGACTTTAGGTCCATCTTTTTCACAAAGCAAACAGTTTCTTTAGGACAGGAACGCAACTGTGGGTTTTTAAATCTTATCCACTGCTTAGATCTGTATGGAAGAACCAAGATGACTAATTGTACGCGAAGTGCTTGAATCACAAATGAATAAAAGAACAAAGAATCGGGATTGTGACGGAAATTAAGAAGTTCGGGGAACCCCAGCAGGCCTACACGTAGGACACTGTGATTGGTTACGAAGACTATATTCCGTCTATAGACACATAAGTCGCTATAGACGGAATATAGATTGGTGAATATATTTATTGACCACTTACACGCACCACTCGGAACTACAAGTAATGACAGCGCTACCGTTTATCTCTACGAGTCACAAATCACCGCAGCACCTGCTAAGCCTTTTCCAGCCTGCTGTTTCTTCACCAGCCGTTCCCTGGAAACGGCTTATAACAGTTCAGAATCTTCAGCTTCCCGCGCTCAGGTCATATCTTCACAGCCTCCCTTGCAGAACTCAACTCTCGACTGACAACTGCCAGGCTGGCGGCCATTTCACATCAACCTCCTAGTCTTCCCTTCACTGACTCAAGCAGTTAGTCGCTAGCTTCCCACGGCGGCGGCCCGGGTTCGGTCAAGTGGGATTTGTGGTGGACAAAGTGGCGCTGGGGAAGGTTTTCTCCGAGTACTTTGGTTTCCCCTGCCAATCTTCATTACACCAATTGCTCCACACTCACCCTCACCAATCATCTGGGGCTGTTACAATACGCCAGAAGTGGCCGCAGTACAAGGGACTTAGTCCCACCCCACTAACAATAAAAAAAAAACTTGTCAACTGAAAACTGACTGGCTCTGAGTCTTGTGTTACGACCAACGGTCAGTCGGCCAGTCTGTCTTGGAATAAAGCACCCATCTTGGGCTTACGACCACATTTGTATTACTGTCAGACAGTTGCGGTTTTGTTGATGTAGGGCGCTGTCTCTGACAAGAGGACGGGTCTGTCGTTTGCAATTGCTGCCGGTCTTTGCCAGCGCAGTCATTTTCGGTTCCGAGTCTCGTGGGACTCATATTTTACCACTTGTGATTCGAGACTTTCCTTTCGTCGCCTCCTACGACTCGCAGTGCTACGGTGGAGGTATTCGACCCCGCCTCCACACGGGATGTATGAGTGTAGCGGCACTCGGATGCTTTGATGACTGCAATTGATAGTACGTAACGGTGTCCCTACGTGGCGATGTAAAGCTCACCTTCCGGGTCGGTAATGCGAGGCTGAGGAAACGTACAGGGCCCTAGAGGTCCACATGCCGACACGTTTGTCTCATTCGCGTAATGGACGATGACGTCATGTTACTAGGAGGCTCAGTTGAAGGTGCGCGGAAACCAAGGACGCCGTGTCTCCCCCGGTGAGGGCTCACTGCACGCCTCTTTGAAGGCCGACGCTTGTATGAAGTCTGAAATTCGCCTTAATAATATTCAGAAATTAAGTTAATACTTCACAGAAAACACACGCCTCTTGTTACATAGACCAAACTGTTATTTCTGCGGAGAAAAATAATGGCTGTTTATTTTGCGAATTGCACAAACGGTTGTTCTGTGACCAGACTGCAGAGCGGTGCATACAGTAAGCCTTCGCTAATCCGGATTAATGAAGTAAAAGGTAGATCTAAAAGACAAAATAAAATTTAGTAAACAAATAAATGGAAAATTAAATAATATATGTAGTGCCGATGAAAATAAATAAAAAAATATCACCGTAGAACATTTATTTAAAAACTATAAAAAGACAGTGAATTTATTCATCGATAGAAGACCGAGAAGTTGTACTTGTTTTTGAACGCAATAATGCAGGCTTGAAGAAACTGTCAAGTTTTGTCTGAGCAGACAATTGACTCATCTTCCTTCCTAAATGCAATGTGTCTTTTAAAGTACGTACTCAACAGTGAACAGAATTTTTCATATTTCGTTCCAGATTATCCGACTTCAGGATTAACTGTAACCGGATTAGCGAGGGTTTAATACTGACTTATGTGGATTAAACATTTGACGTTCTGGAAACTTTGCAGACCGTGTAATAGGAACCAGTTAAGCCAAATGCAAGGAAGAAATTCCCAGATAGAAATCTTACTTGAGCCGACCTCATTAGTAGGCAAAGAGGCAGGGTGACGGAGGTGTAGAAGACGGGGAGAGGTTGAGAGGTTAGAAGAGCATACTCGGAGCTGTTATTTCAGACCTCAGTGGCTGCAGGATACCCAGGAATGGTTGCTACTGCAACCGGCTCGGTTTGACACAACCCAGAAGCGCGTGAAGATGTACACAGGCAACAGGTGTCCTGAAGTGGTCATGGAAGGGTGACGCACACCTGCGGCAGGTGATAGAATTATTGCAGGAGTGAATATAAAGAATGGCACATGATCGCGGTCGTGAATTGAATCTTGGCCAAAGAAATTACAACTTTACACACGGTAAAATATTGTGTTATTCTGTACCATTGTTTTGGATTTCGAGATGTGTTTATCACGCATCATCACCTTCATTTGATCCAAGAGATTAATTATTAACACAGTTCAAGGTTTTATTATACGACAGTTACGTTATGAACAGTGTTCCCTCGGAGCCATTGATCACAATAGCCGCTCCTAACAGAAATTCCGTATTAGAAAGGAAAACATAATCATTTCTAGAAATTAGTTTTATTTGGTGACTAATTATCGTATGTGGTACTGGTCAGAATTTGTAAACTGATCTTTTCTTGACTTAATGGCAAAAAATCTTTGATAACGTCGCTGAAGTGGACGGAAGGAGCTACATCATTCTTAGCTGAAGTAATAGTAAAATTTGTGACACTGTAGACTACAGATATTATTTGATGAGTTTCATTTTGCTGAAAGAACGTTCACATTCTGATGCTGAAATTTATGTCAACAGAATCTCTTAGAGCAGCTGCCAAGGCCTTTTATGTCTCCAGTCCCATTAATGAAGTGTATTTTGGCAGTCCCATTGGAGAAAAGTCCAGGTTTTCCCATTCTGGTTTTCTCTTTTGAAGTAAATGATGTTCTTTAGTCCTGATACACTTTCAGTACTGCTGTGCCACATACGTGCAATTATTTCGGAGCTCAGTTTCGTAATTCTGAAGGTTCAGCTGATTTATCAAGAGATTCAGCGTTGCTCAGGGAACCAAAGAGCCTCACTGACCCTCACAACGGTGAAAGACGGCGAGAAATTAGAACTCAAATTCTGTCTACAATTTTTCATAGAAAACGGAACACTGACTTCTGAGTAGTCAGTGGAGCATGAGGTGCATTTTTACCGGGCGTGGAACACATCTTACTTCCCCTGCTCAGTGTCAAACTCCATTCGTTGCACAAGTCTTAAGCATCAGAAATGTCTGTGGCACAGGGCTCATTTTTCAGTTAACGATTATTATTATTATTATTACAATGATCAAGTTAAGGAGGATGAGGTGGGCAGGTCATGTACGAGTAGTGAGTCAGAGTGAGTAGTGNGAGCTCAGTTTCGTAATTCTGAAGGTTCAGCTGATTTATCAAGAGATTCAGCGTTGCTCAGGGAACCAAAGAGCCTCACTGACCCTCACAACGGTGAAAGACGGCGAGAAATTAGAACTCAAATTCTGTCTACAATTTTTCATAGAAAACGGAACACTGACTTCTGAGTAGTCAGTGGAGCATGAGGTGCATTTTTACCGGGCGTGGAACACATCCTACTTCCCCTGCTCAGTGTCAAACTCCATTCGTTGCACAAGTCTTAAGCATCAGAAATGTCTGTGGCACAGGGCTCATTTTTCGGTTAACGATTATTATTATTACAATGATCAAGTCAAGGAGGATGAGGTGGGCAGGTCATGTACGAGTAGTGAGTCTGAGTTAGTAGTTTATCATCTTTCTTTGTAGGAATTGGAACTTATGTTGCCCATAGCTGTATTTTCAGAAAACTGAAGTTCATCATCGTCTGGATGTATTTACTCCAGGTCACATGTTCGTCACTCGCTGGATTCATTCTCTTGGTCTCAAGAAACACCTGGATTATCATTCAGATTCTCGGAAACTACAGATTCATTTCACTGGAACGGCTTAACTAGCTGAAGGATTATCCCCTTTCTAAAACGAAGCATCATGAACTCCTCACAGTTGCCTAAAATGGGCAGTACTCGGTTTCTGTGTGCCTCGTTTCTTGATGACGGGAAGTAGGACTCGGAAAATGAAAAAAAAAAAATCGAAATTTATAAGAGGTCGACGTCACATTAATGTAAACTGTACCAAGCCTTCTTACAAATAAATAAAATGAAGGTAATAGCAATCCCTGTAACAGGCCGTAGAGGCCCATAAGGTTGTGAGGCGTCGAGGTTCCCACATTTTCTAGACAGTCTGCTCACAGATGACTATAAGGCTGTTAGCCTTGCGCGCCGGCCTCCCTTTACTCCCCGGTAGATTCCTGGTACTTATTTCCCTTAGAGGCTGAGTCGGCCCCAGGGCCATAGTTGTGACTCGAAGGATTAAGTCAATTGCAAAAATCTAATGACCTCATCTGGAATCGAATCCACTAACTTCCGGCTTATAGCATAATGGTTTCAGATACGAAATTTAATTCAAATCAATTCAACCGTTCTCCCATTGTTTCTTGCGTACAGACAGGAAAATTGAGCGAAACTAATGGGGTTCTTTTTTCGAAATGTAGACCGGGGAGGCCCCCCAAAAAAAAATGTATTTAAAATATTTTGCATTCTGCCGCCCACTTCGCTTCCCCCTGGACTGCGCTGCCGGGGGGCGGCCGCACAAACATAAACTACGCCTTTGGTTATAATTTACAGTTTTGACAAGAAATGCGAAACAAAATACATCTGCATACATATCGCTGCAATTTTAGCTTCGTTAGCGAAATTCCTTTGTACAGAGTTGGCGTCTAAACCATTGCAGCATGTAGGAACTCGCGTTACGAAATGCGGTATTTCCTGCGGTCTTGGTTTCATTCTCACGCCAAGTTGCTTTTCAAGGCCTGCTCGCCTCGTTACGCCTCGCGCCCCCGGTCGGTGGGAGAGCGGTATGTGAGCGGCGGCAGGAGTTTCGTGTGCTGCTGCATCGAATTCGTGCCGGTACAATGGCTGCGGTAAGAACGCCAAAACTGACGGGAAAAGGACCTCTAGTACCCGTCTCCATTTTTCTCCCCCCCCCCTCCAATTCGTAACCCATCGGGTCTCGCTATAACCTCATCGGGGTTGTAGATATACGCCGTATAGTATAACTTTTGGAAGAAGGGTTGGAGTTTCAGGCAGCCTCCTGCCTTGGGGCAGTGCGAATGTTAAAATGTTTTATAGTTCATCAAATTATCGAAGTTACGCAATATTTTCCAACAATTTAATGATAATGGGTGTAAGCTCGTCTGGAATGTGTAGGGCTGGTGGTGCATGCGACAGGGGAGATCAAGTATAGTTCTTTCTGCATAGGAGGTCAAGTTCTTACTCTGCTCCTAGTCCCAATCGCCCCCCCCCACACACACACACACAAATTCACATCACTAGTACATGTTATCCAGGATTAGCCTGTTCAGCCCGTTCTGGCCCCAAATGTAATTTTAAGTTAAGATTTATTTTGGAGAATGTTTAGAATGTAATTAGATGATGTCTTGTGGTTTAGGCCGCGTGTACACCGGGCGAGATAACGATCAGTTTGTCACGAACATGTCACCGCGAAGACCAAGACTCTCGTCTTGCTCCGTGTATATGGAGTGAGCGCGTGATCACGACCAAGATAAACTGCTTACCGCTGCTTAATCCAGTCTGTGTGTCGAGAGTCGCGAAAAGTTCAAGTAACGTGAGTTTGCTGCGTGCTTGGAGTTGGGTTCTTGAGTTATGGCTCGTTGGAACGATGAAACTGTTATGAAGTTCGTTAAGCTCTATGAGGCGGAAGTGTGTTTGTGGCCAACAAGCGACAGTGACTATAAAAACAAAACCGCGCGGAACCAGTCTCTTAAGAACATTGTTGGTGCAATGGATTTGAAAGGTTTCGGAGTGCCAGAATGTAAACAGAAAATAAAAAATATCCGATCACACTACTGCCAGGAACTCACAAAGATTCGCAGTAGCAAAATAAGTGGGTCAGGTCCTGATTCTGTGCACGAACCAACGCTGGTTTGGTTTAAAACTCTGGATGCATTTCTACGTCCATTTACAGCACAGGCAGCTCAGTGTAAGCCGGTAAGTGTACTTTATTGTATTCTAGCCACAGTTTCAACAATACATTAAAAATACAGTATTGTCTAGAGCAGGCATGTCCAACGCGTCAATCGCAGGACGATTTTTGGTCGATCTCATAGGCCTATAAGGAAATTATATGTGAAAAGCATGTAATTTCACTTGTAATATAATATGATTATATTCATATTTTGAAGGGAAAATACGTATTAGTCATTCCTATTTTTCTGTTCTTAATGAACAAGGTAAGTCTGTACTTTCAGTGTATGTTGCTTTTACAATAAACGTGTCGTGTTAGTTTTACCAGTGTTTTTGCTTAAAGTGAGGTATGACGATAGGAGGGTGGTAGATCACTGGCAGTTTTGACACTAAGAAGTGAATCACAACCTATTTGAAGTTGGACATGCCTGGTCTAGAGTGTTGTCTTCTGGGATGTGAGGAGACTACCCATGTTTAGGAGGAACATATGCCCCCATCTGTGGGTTCATATAGTAAGCCAAGCAAGAGCACTATGCTTATAAGTGTAAAAATTTATGCATGTATAATGTATCTAAAATGTGTTATTCAGTGTTAGCCCATAGCGTAATTCAAATAATTTATTTATTCACAGATGAACGCTGAAATGGTTACATGGTTCTCATTCTCTAGTATTTCATTGTAATTTTTTTCAGGGGAAATTCGTGAAAATAGGAGTGACAACACACAACTTTCTATCTGCAAACAGGAGAGAAAAACAAGATGGGATTAGTCCTAAGAACATGTTCTATGCAGATAGTCAAAGAGATACACTAAAGGACACATTACATCAGCAATGTTCAGTCCCAAAGAGACCTAAAGTGGAAGACATTGTAGGTCTAATTAGTGTTGAGGATGGTATCTCAAAGCTACAGAACTTACTGAAGCTAGAAGATCCATCAGAATTTGACTTGTGGGCCAGAAGTGTAGCTGTTCAGTTGAACAAAATGGACGTACAGAGAGCATTGCAACTGCAGCTCAAACTTCAGGCAATCATCACTGAAGAACGAATCAAGTATGAAACTCGGAGTCATCATGAGGATGTCTACCAACAGTATCCATGGCTGAAAGTCATTTCTTCATTAGGTTCACACATGGAAACAAATCAGTCAGTGATACCATCACCCAGTACAACTGCAGACACACAGCTATCGTCTGTCAGCTGTCCAGAATATGACATTGCTGTTGTTGGCAAAAAAGACTCTTTTGTTTTATAATGAGATTTTGATTTTGGCAGTGTTCTTTCCTTACATGGTAGTCTTTGGACAATTTGTTATTGTAATATTTCTAGGTTAGGTTGCAGTTTGTACCTTAAATTTGTTACTGATGTTGGTATCATTAATAAAGTTGAGTAATAAGCTTGTCTCACGTTTGTATCGGGTTACTGAAAAGTATGCTCTGCTTTTTAATAAAGGCCTTTGAATGTGATGGTCTGATAGTTATTCTGAAGAAATTCTATTATGACACAGAATCTTCACGGATGTAGTCTCATGGTCAGAGTTCCTGGCTACAGATCCAGAGGTCCGGGTTGGATTCCCGGCGCTACCAGACTTTTTCATAGAAGTAGTGGATCTGGAACGGGGTCCACTCAGCCTCGTGATGATAATTGAGGAGCTGCTTTAAGGAAATAGCGGCTCCGGTCAAGAAAACCGAAAATTAACGGCCGTGTGGATTTGTTGCGCTGACCATGCGACACCCTCTATCCGCAAAAGTTGGAACTAACTTCGCCAACAAGCGGCGGCCGCTCGGTCGGTATGATTCACTTGCGGACTACAACCACGGAGTTTGTTATTTGTTTTTTTTTTTTTGTATTACTGGGTTTTTGTGGCTCTGTCCATTGCCAGGTATTCTAGAAAAAACTAAAGAACACAGTTGTTCTGGAAACTGGATCTGTCTTTGTCCTCAGGTGAGAGGGGGAAACACCTGCTCTTTTGCGACCGTTACAAAGAGTTAATCTCAATCTCTGGAAAACCTGTATCAGTATAACTACAGGTATATAAATATCTGAGATCAGGCTATGTCAGAAGGAGTTAGTGGGAAATGTGTACAATAGAAATTGTGGTAGAGCATGCCCAGACCTGAAACTAAGATGGAAAGGGAAGTGAACATTTCATGTTATCCCTGTCACCTTCCTTAGGCATAGCCTGGTCTCAGGCATTTATATAGCTATAGTTATATTAACATAAGCGGCCTCCGTAGTCTAGGGGTAATGTTCCCACCTCATGACTCAAGGTAGGCGGAGGTCGTGGAATTTTTAAGGGCGGAAAAATTCAGGGAACAAGTCTTCCGGGAGGGACTTTAAGCCATGGGTCCCGTGTCATAGATTTACGGCACGTAAAAGATCCTCATGTCTCTAGGAGACCTCTGAGCAAAATTAGGCAAAAGGTTTCCCGCCCAAGTAGTTTCCAATGCCTCCGGTAGATGGGGAAGTATCAGGTACCACTGCCAGAAGAGGGCCAACCTCGCTGGCAGAATGGAGCTGAAAGCGAGCACCATTACTGGAAGGGTATGGCGACTGTAGAAATTAAAGGGGGACGCACAGTGGACCAATAACTGGTCTAAGTGCATGGGGAAACCCACCCCCTCTAATAATGAATGAATGAATATTGACATAGGTTGTCCAGTGATTGAGGTTAGTTTCTTCTAAGGGACCCAATAGCGTGTGTCCCATGCTCTCACCTGAGGAAAGAAACAGATCCGGCCTCTGAAACATTATGTTCTTAGAATACCAAACGATGGAAAAAGTCCAAAAACCCAGCAATTCCAAGTGTTATACATTATCATCAGAATCCTTTAGAATCTACAGAGTCTTGATGTTTGATTCTTTACAAAGTGTATTAGATGCTCTAGGTGCTTTAAGTCTTCATATCCAAATGCTGAGCCGAAGTTTTCTGCTTCCTTTTTAGAATCATACTCAGTTCCTTGCACAGTGAATCAGTTCTTCTCCCAGAGCTTCCATCTTCAAACTGACAGCTGTTTGAATTCAAGACTCTTTTCATCATCATGCATGTTTCTCATTTTGAGTTTTCCAATTCAAACACGTGACATTTTGACAATTTATTTGACTCATGTACATGTGGCTTTAAGATGTTTTCCCATTTGCCTACATAGAACAAGGATACAATGAAAACAGCCAGTCTGTAGATCAAAGACTCGAACCTGGGATCTGTTGAAAATATTTTGTTGTATGGCTTCATTCCAGGGGCATTTAATGTGATATATAGAAAACAAGATTGTTGGTAAGAAGGTATATCTGTTCATGCAACGGTTGCAGCATCACCCCTGGTTGAATAAGTGAGGTTATACTGACATGTGCAGTTTGTTTTCCCACAGAATTCACAACAGAAGACAAACTTGAATATCAGTTCAACCCAGTGACAGCAGGGTCCCTGCACTTCAAGGTTCGTGCACCTAACGATGCACATGTGGCCCTGACCACTGGCTCCACTGAAGGGAATCCGATGTATGAGGTAAGTTGCGGCACACATGTAAATGCTTCTCACATTGGTAAGTTACAATAAATGTGACTAATTCTGGATATTGCTCATTGTCTTGAGTTTTTTCATGCACAGTTGTTTTGGAAACTGGAATAGCTTCCATCATCCCTGAACTATTGAGCAAGACTACCTCTTTCGATGAGCAGAAGTGAATAGGAACCATTGCTACCTTATACTACTCTGTCCAAAAAGTATCCAACCTTGGGCCGGGAAAACAAAGTTCTGTATCTGGGTGGTTACAATACCTAATCCCTTTCAAAGTAGGCCCCTTGTGACTCCACACACTTAGTCTAGCAGTTCTTCCATCACTGGAAACAATTCTGGAATGCTTCTTTTGGAATGGAATGCAGCTGTGCCGTTGCGTTCTGTATGATGTCCTCGCAGCTGTCAAAACATGACCCTTTTAGTGGTGTCTTCAATCGTGGGAACAACCAGAAATCACAGCCATTTCAGGAGAGTAGGGAGCCTGGCGAACCTGCCGAATGCCGTGCTTGGCCAGGAAAACTTGGATCAGGTGTGATGAATGAGCTGGGGCATTGCCATGATGCAGCTGCCTGTTGCGTGCATCCCACAGCTCCGGTCTCTTGCGCCAAACTGCACCATGAAGATGGTGGAGGACTTCTAGGTAGTACTCCTTATTGACAGTTGGGCATAGTGGTGCGTACTCATGATGCACAAGACCCCAGTAATCGAAAAAAACAGTAACACCTTCACATTGCTCCAAACCTGTCATGCTTTTTTGGGCCTTGGGGATGTTGGCTGCTTCCATTGTCACGCCTGGACCTTGGTTTCCGGGTTATATCCGTACACCCACGACTCATCACCAATGATCACAGTCTTCAGGAACTCAGGATCCCTGTTAGCGCACTCCAGCATGTCCTGCTTGACCTCAAGGCAGAGTCAGTGCTCTGGCGAAAGCAGCTTGAGAACAGATTTTGCCGCCACTCTTCGCATGGCCAAATCCTGAGTAAAAATTGTGTTTGCGGAACCTATGCTGATCCCAACCTCATCAGTAACTTCCCAAATGGTCAAACGACGGTCATCCATGATCACAGTCCGCACTTTCTCAATGTCATCGGCATTTCAGCTCGTTGACTGTCTCCCAGAATGCTGGTCACTGTCTGCCGACATACGGCCTTCTTTAAAACGGTTGAACCACTCTTTAATTTGAGTAACCCCCATTGCATCATCGCCAAAAGCCTGCTGAATTTTGCTCCTATACAGTATCCCACAAACATAATAAAAAAAATCGTTTTTTACTTTTATTTTTGTTCACAACATGTTTCAACTGCATGCAGTCATCATCATTATCATCATCAGGTGAAATACAGCAGTGTTGGTTGTAACATATTTTGACTGATCAGTTAGACTGTGATGATGTAACATATGTAAGACATATAAAAGTAGATAAAGCATCAATTGAATTGGTCAGATTTGACCCAGAGAACATATTTTAAGTAGAAAGCTATTAGTACTATACTTATTAAAACTCGTGGGATGAATTGTGGAATGATTTTAGAACAAACCATAACTAGAGAAACACAAACATAACGTACCCCAATCCGAGCAAGAAAGTGAAATCCTGCAAAAAATGATACAGAAGCGTAAAAAAGTCAACCACTTCACTTTCACAAACAAACTACAAATTTTACAAGGTGTACTAAAACACGATTTGCATAATAAACCAAAAAGATTATGTCCATCAGCTGGTATTCTGAAAGCTAGAAAACACAGTCTTTTGGAAATTGGATCTGTTTCTGTCCTCTAATGGGGTGGGGGGAGACACGTACTCTGTTGGGTCCCTTATAAAGAACTAACCCCAGCCACTGTACCCAATAGAGTAGGTGTTCCCCCTCACCTGAGGACAAAAACAGATGCAGTTTTTGTTACATTGTGTTCTAAACACATTCAAGTTTTCATAATGGCGAGGCTGATGCGTAATGATTTAAGTTGGTCCTAATTCATAACATTCTTGTTCAAGTCTTTCAAATAGTGGAGCATGTTACTAAGAAAGGAATATTGTTTTAAGTTGACCTGAGATTACCTGTAAATCATATGTATTTTGGCTGTCATGTGGATATGAAGAAGCTTATATGGAAAAATTTAAATATGAATAATTGTTTTATGTCTGTACTGGTCACAGACTGACCAATGGTGAGTGTATTTTTAATGTTACCAGATTTTCATTGGAGGTTGGGGAAACACAAAGACTGCCATCAGGCGAAACCGTGAGAAGCCAGACAAGGCAGTGGCAGAGACACCTGATATTCTGAGTGATGCTGAGTACCGCGGCTTCTGGATACGCTGGGCAGGAGGATCTGTGGCTGTGGGCAAGGAAGGTCAAGTGGCCCCTTTTGTGGCTTGGGATGACCCTGAACCTTTTGGTATTGGCTACTATGGTATCTGCACTGGGTGGGGAGCATCTGGCTCATGGATAATAGAAGGTGAGTAATTTCTGCAGGTATAAATGAAAACCAGCATATGTGAATTGTAATGGTCTGTACATGTGCCATTCTGTGCCATTTTAGTTCCACCTTGAATAAAAGTGGATTTCACTAGCAGGTTCCTGCACCAGAAGATATGGCGTTTATTAAAGACATAAACCGTCACAATTATGCATCCTTCACCCACGATGTGGTTCCTTCTTGTTGTTATCACAGTATAGGACACTCAGATCTATGAATTATTAAGATATTATGTCATCAGTGCTGCATTTGACTGGGTAGCACAGCTAGTTCATATTTGGGAGCTCCTGGGTTCAGATTTTGCCCTAGAACCGGATATCCTGATACATTTTTTTTTGCAGTTTATCCCAGTTCCTCCAGGGGAATTTCAGAATAATACCTCAAATTAGGGTAGGGTTTGCATCCCTGCCACAGCCTTGCCAAATCATCAGTCATTGTCTGCCAGTGCTATATAACCTGGGCCATTGACAATGCCATTATGTAAGCTATAAATAAATAACTAAATTGGCAGTCTGAGAATATGATTGCATGGTTATCAGATAAAGGGAATTATAATTGTGAAGAAGGAGTTCTAGGAAGAACTAATATGCCTACTTTCCTTGATATGACACAGACCATATAGAAAATAACTCATCCACCAATTTTCTTCTATTGAAGCTTGTGTATTCATTGCTGTGGTAACATTTTTACTGAGCCACTGCATAGCAACAATAGGGGGATTTTTACTGAGTCATTGCCTGGCAACACTAAGGGTGATACACATACAGGCACACAGGCTGATGTTAGGGATTTATGAAGTATGCTTCTGAGATGGGCTCAGGTGCCATGATATACATACCAAGTTCCATAAAGATTGGGTCAGCCATTTAGAAGTTGATAGGAGGGATATGCAGACACACAGCATGGTGATCTCATAAACCTACTTTTATTTTTCAAAATTAGGAAAGTAGGCTAAAAGTGGCATTTTTCCTGGCCTTGAATCTTTGATGCTGAAATATTGAAAGTTGTTCTTGTGGCTCAGCTTCAGTGTTGAACTTCTATTGCAATTTAAGTTTCAAGGTTTAGGAAACAGTGCACAGAATTGCTGTGTTAAAACGTATACATTTTAGTGAGCATCAGAATGACATTATTTCTATGTACAAAAGTTGTTCCTGAAGGGTTGTGAAAATCTCACTCTGAGATCAGTACCTGACTTGAACTGGTGTGTGTGCTGCTTTTCATATGTATATGCTGTTGCAACAGAAGGAAACCAGTGGAAGAGGCTGTGGTAAGAGCTGTCTATTAGGTCCACAGTAGGAAACAGGAAGCAGGAAAGTAGGAAAGAGAAAAGTTGAACCATGAAATTTAAATGTAGACATCTGTGGCTCAAAGTCCTGCATGGACAATATTAACATATGACAAACAAAACAAACACACATCAAGTAAACAGAGTGAAAGTGTCATGTAAGGTATCTTTGGGTGCAAAGAATTTGACCGCTAAACTAAGAAAAGTCTTAAATGAAGGTAATTTAACACTAAGTTTTTTTGGCATGGTATCATTGAAACTGGATGGTAAATGAGGGTAAACCTTAAACTGAGAAACATTAAATCTGGTCTGTGTTGTATTCATAACCAAGAAACCTAGATCACCTTATGCAGTGGATCAGAAGATGCAACAAAACAAACTTAATAGATGATTCAAATGTATTGTAAAGAAAACCTCACATTGATATTTTTGTCAATTTGATTCATTTTATTAAACTATAGCTCTTGCACAAACAGAACTGTACCAGCTTGTGTTAAGAACAGTGCAGTGTACAGAAAACTCTTGTTATCCATGTTATTACATATTTGCCATTTTGTTTCAGTGTTACCAGAAGGCTCAGTATGCTCTCTGCAACCATAGCAGGAGCTGCTGTTCTGGCCCCGTGAGCTGCATATGCAGTGTTCCTGACTTGTCCCACCACTTCAACCCACTCATGTCATTTCCTACCCATTCCCCATTGTGTTAAGTTTTTCTTCAGTGCATTTCCTGTTTTACATGTTCTTGGTATATTCTGCGATTTTCAGGGAGACAACATGCATCACTAGTAGCAGACCTGAAGGTGTTCACTGTTCATTACTCAGGACAAGAGCTCTGACTGAGCCAGGCACATATCATTTGCTACTGTTCTGCAGCAAGAAACAATCATTTTGTTGAAATGTGATTACGTGATCATACAGCGTAGTGCCATAATTCATGCGATTGACTAAATTATTTACAAATAACAATCCACTTCTTTATATACAATCACAGACATAACTCTTGTCCTGGGTAAGGGACAGTAACTAGTGGAAATATTTCATTCCCTGGTTTATAACATTCAGTGAACTGTTGAAATGATATTGTATGATAACTCATTTGTGCTGTGTTGTCTGTGATACTATTATACACTCCGCATGTTGCTACAGTGTTGAATTATGAAGGGGTGAGTCTGGTATGTTTGGATGTCAGACTGATGGTTTCACTCTTCCTTCGTACTGTCACTGCATAGCACAGGGAAATTGGAAACTGGATGAGAGTGTAGAAATGTTGTGCAGAAGTAATGAGCAGACATTAACATAAGAGTGATGTGTCTTTTTGGACTGGATGTGATGACAAACTGACTTACTGACACACTAAACACACAGACTTGTATTCATGAGGCTCTCTGTGTCACAGCATGCTCTGTGATATAACCTTAGTGTATCCAAAAAATTTTTGAATCTAGTTAATTTTCTTCTCCTTTTTGTGCCTTGACTTTTGCTTTATGAGTGTTCATGTAGATGGATGAAAAGTCTTCAGTGTCTTCTATCTGACCACATCTTTTCCTTTTCAGTTTCTTGCCTAGTCTTTCCTCTCTTCCTTGAAGCCTGTCTGGTTAATTGTCTTCTTCCCCAAGTTGTGGCCATTTTGAAAGTTTCACCTGGAGAATGTCTAACTTGAGCATTGTACCAGTTCAAAGTATTTCATTCATTTATTGAGTTATTTGTTTATGATTTTTTTGTTTTTGTAATTTATTGGTTCTCTTTATTTAAAAGGCCAAGCCAGTAAGTCCATAGAATCTGTGCCTAGCATCACATTCCATTTGTGGACCAGATGCTTCCTACACCTTAAAAAGGAAAGAATTTGTGGAAAGTTGTGGAGACCAATTTCTCTAGTTCTTGATGTTAACGGAGTAAAATTTGTCAAGAATAATGTGAATACAACAGTAATACTTGTCTCTCGAATTTGTTGTTTGGCAATAAAGGAATTTCTAGCAGGTGTTGGAGATTGATATAGTTTTTGATGTTAGTGGACTACCATTTGTCAAGCAGAAAATAAGTACAAGCTTTCCGACTTACAAGCTAAATCTCTAAGACATTTGAATTACCCAGGAAGTCTTTAATTGCATAAGTGCTTAACTTATAGGTCAGGTTGGCTCATATAATCTATGTAGCCACAGCTGTATACTTAAATCAGCCTAACAAGATTGGATTTTAAGCTACAAACATATATAGCAGTCTCCTTGAATATGTGAAACTTTTTCCACGTTGCTGAGTCCTGAATTTTCCAGAAATCTCTTAACATAAATCATAATTTGTTACATCAGAGGCAGAAGCTAACAAATTTAGGGCTTTGTGAAAGGTAAATAAATTTCTTCTTAAGTTCAAGTCAAGTTAGTGAATGAGAATCAGAGTATTTAGGCCAACATAAATATTGTGATTAATGTTAGTTTATTGCACCTTTCCTCAGAAAAGTATTCAAGTGTGTAATTAACTTCAGCAGTTACTGAAGATATCATATACAGTAGTAAGCTAAATAAAACCTTCTTTCCTAACCAAATCTGTTAACCATTCAGCATGATGACAGCATCACCCCCTGGAGTTATCACCAATCAGAACATTCCAGGAGAGTGGGATAAGTGCCTTACCTGAGCTAACATCCATAAATTTTTATATCAGACAGAAAGGGACCCAAATATAGATATCTTCCCTCAGGCACCCAACTCTTGAGTAATCAGTCCCTAAGTACCCATCTGTTGATACAACCATCCTTAATTCCAGTGTTGTGTAACCTGGAGGCTGACTGTTGTTATGGTGAAGATAACAAAGAAGGTTTATATAGTATTGGGGAGACAGAATCATAGGGAACTCTCTGGGAAGATAGAGAACTGATATTAAGGAAGTGGGTTGCAGGACAAGAACCCTGCAGGAAACAAATGAAAATTATGTAATGAATTTGTGGCCACTCAAAGGGCCATCTCCCATGGGTGTACGCCCCTTCTCTGATTTGCTAATTCACTGGGCTGTTGGGATGGATTTAGTACAAATACAATGTCTTCAATCAGATGTTTCCAGGTGACTGTAACATGATATTAACCTCAACAAAATGAGGTTCACTTCAGGATGAAGTAATGTTTGCAATCAAAGTTTGTACGAACTGTAGGATTTGTTAATATTAACCGTTTGAAGACTGAATTTCATATGAGTAATATTTATAAATTCAGGTCCCACCTCACAGGAAACTCTGTTTCCATTACAGAGACTAACTGGTTAACCCTGTGCAGGGAATTAATTGCATACTCTTCTGATGATCATATGAAAACCAGAATCACAGATTAGTAACTATGCTCAGGGAAGTTATTACTGCATTCACCTGAAACATTTTGTGTTTACTGGAGTTACTGTGTTGTGGCAGTTGTCAGAAGTTGCCTCCTCAAAATTTTTGGAAAGGTCATGGCTCATTTACAGATTTATAACAGAATTCTCCTCCCATCTCAAGACTACTGATTGATATGTCAGTTGTGCATATGCCCACATCAAGCAGGTTTCTTGTCAGTAATCTAAGTAGTTAATACTAACCCTAGAAGTGCCAATTTTTATTCCTGCAATGCCAAGCCACTGTCATGGGTTATCAGAGCCATCGTATCTTCATGGCTAAATAATACATACACTCCTACTAGCTTCCTGAAAACTTCAAATGTAGGGCAAAAGTCTCAGTGTTCCTTTACTGTAGAATTAAGGTCCTAATAGTTGTCACATACTCCCAGATAAAGCAGTTTTTAGTCAACATTTTCAACATTTGATACTTCAACAGTTAATTGGCTTTCACTGTCATGGTGTTGGGGTGAGAACCAGGGACACTTGGCTTAACTACATCACTCACTGTAGAAGTGTTGACTCTGGAATCTGGATATAATAAATGACAGGTTGACCCAAACTGGAATCATATAGGAAGAAATGCTATTGTTTTTGTATCTGAAATTTACTTGTGACAATTGTTAACTCAGGATGTTTGTTCTGTCACCTCCACATCTTCCGGACACTCTCATGCCCTCCAGATCGGTCTTCATTCCAAATAACATGATCACGGTATTTTGTGATCCTGATACTACTGCCTCTTGCATTTACTTGCATTTGTTGAACGGGTGGAAAAATTCAAACATCCAGAGAACACAGTGATATGAGTGTGTTCAGTGTTGGTGTGCAGACAGACTAGAACAAGTTGACCCAGTGCACATGGCTGACATGAATGTCTTTGGAGTTGGCCCTGAAAATGTATGTCAATTAACTGACATACCATAATCCACTTTCACACGGGAGGATGGCCAGACTTACTGAAGATGGGAATTTGATCATTTTTGGAAGTTCAGGAGCTTTAAGCAGGCATGGATTGGATGTCATAGGTGTTCAGGTGTATGCTATCCATGCAGCATTTTTATTTTATTCCATTTGTAACAAAGGGATTGACTAACTTTTTTCCTGTGATGCTTACTAATAGTTCAAGCCACCTGTGCCTTGCAAACCAGTGTTTAGTAATGACTATAATGTAATTTTGTTATATATTTGGACAAACTAAGAGTTTCTCGTTATAACACAAGGTTGAGCAACTAAGTTTCGAGACTCGTTTTTAATTTTGTGCCAGGCAATCTAACAATGCTGTTACTTGGAATATTAGGTGATGCAACAAAACAGAGCTCACATGGAAATAGTTTGGATAAGATGTGTTCATTATTCACTGAACAGTAGTTCGTTAGATCACTGTGTGTCATCGACTGTGTCCAGACGTGAATATGGAGCATATCATGGAACAGAGAGTGAATGCAAAATTTTTTGTTAAACTGCATGAATCGCCAACTGGGCAAATGCCAGCCCATGGAGTAGAGAACAAAGAATTTCCCCAGGCCAAAGAAACCACGGATGTCAAAATTCAAGATCAAAACAATGTGATCGGCTTTTTAACAACAAGGGTATCATCCACTAAATTTTTATATGAAGGGAACATTGATAATCAGACATTCTACGTGGAGGTGATGAAGAGGCTTACTGATGCCGTGAGGTGCAAGCGAGGAGAGTTGTGGAGAGATCATTCATTGATTCTTCACCATGACAATGCGCCAGCACATCCTTTGCTTTGAGCATCCCAATTTTTGCCAAGAAAAGGCTTCTCTGACTTGATAGCATGCAAAGTTTGTTGGTCTGCCCTATTTTTTTACTTGTTCTGAAAGAGGTGAGCATGTTTGGTTCCAGCCAACTGAATTAACAAACAGGTGCATATATCCATATTTACTGGGATCTGACTGGGTCTCATCTCTTCTCATCCCATCTCTTGGGTTCTTAACATTTTCATACTTCATTTGCTTCTTCTCTTCTTTTTGTTTACTCCTGTAAGATACTGAACACACCAGAAGCTGCTTTGCTGTGTCCATGTGATCTCCCCAGTGCATGACCATCCACAGGGATTGAGATATGAAAGACTTCACAACCAGCAGATTAGGCAGGATCCAACATGATTAAGGCCATTTTACATTTTCTTTGAAAACTGAAGTTCAATCGAGTCCACTTTGTTGGTTATCTTTATACAAAACTGTGAATAGTGACACATTGCTCTCTTGTTTCCATATTACTTTTCTTTCTTTCCAGGAAAAAGATTCTGGAATAATAATTATCAGATACATCATGACTGTATTCTGCAGGATTGCTCTCATATCAGCATTAATAATACTACATTTCATCTGTTGATTAAGAGCATGAAATAACTGAATGGTTCATTTTTGGCAAGTGTCATGAGTTATGGTCTATTTGATTTTCATGGCACATGCCAGCCCCCCCACATACACACAGAAAAAGAATTTGCATTTGAAGCAGCTAGCTTTTGACCAGGAACCTTTATTAAGAAGTTCAGTACCTTAAATTTAGGTCACTTGTACCCATGTAATAGAATAGTGATCATTTGAGTTATTTCATCACTGAAATTCATTCAAAGTTTGCACCTCTTCTGGTTCCCTGTGTCTGGACCATACGCAGCTTCTGGTGTGAAATACAAATGGTTTTGGTAGGTGGTGCCGACGTCACTACGATGGACAATTTGCAGTACAGTTACCGTCCTGTGCCAGTGGGTGGATTACACATTGAAGTGCGTGCCCCTTCCAATGCTCATATTGCTCTTACATCAGCCAATCATGAGACGGAACCTATGTATGAGGTTCTGCTCGGAGGCTGGGAGAACACCGCATCTGTCATTCGCTACAATCGTCAGAAACCAGACAAGGTACATCATTCCTGTTGCAGTGACTTCTATGCACATCAACAGAAACAAAAGTTAGCTTCTTTCTTGCAGGACTCACCAATCAACCAAAAGTGGGTTCCATATCTAATTTAATTGCTTCTCACTATTCAATACATTTGAGCTGCATAACGGATTATACTCATATTTGGTAGGAAAATGGAAGTTTCCAGACTAGTTAATACATTAGTGGGTGGAGTTAGCTTGTACAAATCCCACTTGACCATACCCGGGATCAAACCCGGGCCGCCACGGTGGGAAGCCAGCGACTAACTGCTTGAGCTATGGCATGGCCTAATTAAGTTAACTTGCTAAGTATATTTATTGTAGTACAATGGGAAGTAATTCTTTTTTTTATGGTGTGTAAAATTTATTCAGTTTAATATCTTTTCCATTCACATGTACCTGCAATATGCAGATTGGAGCACTAAATGAAAGCAGCCAGAGAAGTACACAAAATTATAAAGAATGCATTTCAGATTAGGGTGTATTAGGGGATGCCATGCAATGCATGTAGTCCTGTGGTATTCGTGTCTGTACTGAGTCCTGTGCAACTGCAAGCTCAGATAGTGTAATCACACTGATGGTTTGTTTTGCACACGTGAAGGTTCGGGTAGATACACCTGGACTGTTGACCAACAGCGACTTCAGTCGCTTCTTCATAGAATGGCATAATGGCCACTTGAAGGTGAAGAAGAACGGTACTCTGCTGATAGAGTGGCAGGATCCTAGCCCGTTTGGCATTTCACACTTTGGCGTGCGGACAGCTTGGGGTGCTCAGGGACACTGGAGGGTCAAAACATTGGACCCTAGTGCAGTGCCAGGTATTGTGTGACCTAACACACCACTAACATGACAGTAACTGTTAAACCTTGGTATAAATTAGTAGAAGCTTATGTTCGTGTAGTGATTGTCTTCCATAGTTTAATGCTAATCTCACTGCAGAAAAAGAGTGACAGATTCATGATAAATGGGATGTGAAGATCAGTATACATTCTGAGCTGTAAAGTCTGGAGGAGGAAAGAACAGTCTGTCTATTTCATTCCTTTGATTCTTGTGTCTGTGGTTTATTTTACGGTAGTGTCAATATGTAGACTATACAATATTAAATGGTAGGATGGTTGAAGAACTGGAGAGAATTTAAAAGGAAATGACAGTGGCCTAATTGAAATATTCTTGCATTTGCCTAGAAGGACTGAGGAGTGCCACAGAAAACTCAGCCAGGATAGCTGACATCCCAGCAAGGTTAAAACAAAGTGCCTCCCAAATACAAGTCGACCAGTCTGCTTGGTCATTTGAATTCTGAAGTTCATGTAAATGATGTACAGAAATTCAGTTTCTACCTCGCAGTAAACACTGTAACTCTACATTGTAGAGACCAACTTCATAATGTTTGTATAAGGATGATTGCTGCTTTTGTGACAATCATATGAAATGCCTAAGTACACTGTGGGAAAAAATGCAGTTTCTTAATATTAAATGTAGTGGTATGTATAATAACCACTGTACTTTGAAGCATTAATGAACACAGCATATGATACCTGTTACCCTTATCAAAGTTGCAGTAATGATTGTTGGAGTGCCTGGTATATTGTGTGTGCTTTGGTGTCTGTGATTTACTCTAATTTTGCACTTTCATCTCTGATTCTCGCTATTTCGTTTTATCATGCTGCTGTCCACGAGGTAACACTGTGCATGCTTGCGAGGGAGAGAGAGTCAGTGTCTGCATGTAGAATACTTGGAAAATAAAATGAGCAATCAATTTGCGAGGGTGTTGTAAGATTTGGGGTCTCATGGCAGCAGCTATGAAGGTGAATGTCTTGTGTAGTGCAACACCAGCTAGCATAGTAGATTGCTACCAACATTTTGGAAAAACCTACTGCCCCCATTTGCAGAGTAGAAGAGTAAGCTGAGCAATACTCATGGTGTACTGATAGTTGGCCATGGAGGTAATGCTGCTAGTGTTTGGCTTACTCTTCTGCCCTGAAGATGAAGCCAAGAATTCCGTTATAACGCCGGTAACCATCTACCAGACTATATAGCAGCGTCACATCCCAGAAGACACTAATTCTGTATGAGTGGTTTTGGCCAACCTTGGGTCCTCATAAAGAGTGGAAAAGGATGACTGGGTGGCTTTCATGTTTGACCTGATGACCACGAAGTGGGAGACATTTCAGTTTTGCAACAGAACAATTTTTGGACCTGATTTCTGTGTTAATGTGTTAGGTTTGACTCATAGAGATATTGATACCTTTCCTCATTACTCAGTATGCTCTGCTAACTGTGTGTGTTCACTGATCTGAATGTTACTAAATGAGGGACTATGATGATTCAATTAGTAAAATGTCATGTTATCCATGAAGGTTCTTCTTGCCTGCTTAATTGGCATGTTTGTAATATTCCCATCATTTGTGACGTACTGTTACACTAAAATCAGCACCATATACCTCTCACATTTCGCAGCTTCATAAATAGCCTAGTGTGGTCCACATAGTCCAGACTGTGTCGCACGTACAGAGTAATGGGGACATAGCTCAAGAAGAAAGTGAAAAAATGTATTGTGCCGCTGTAAGGGAGCTGAAGTTGCTTCTAACATAGTGCAGTAAGGCCCACATCTGTAATTGCTGTCCTCACAGATACTAGTTGCATCCTTATCCAGTATATATGCATGTATGTACTCAGTACAAAACTTAAGCGAGCTTCCACGTAAAATTTTAGTTTTGTAAGTCTTGGCTGCATTGTATCAGCCTATTTTCCTCTTCATATTTCTTTAAATTTCTCTTCTGTGTCCATGTTCTCCCATCTTTTTTCTATTATATTCTTTTCTCTTCTTGCCCTGTTTTCCTCTCTTACATTTTTCTGTTTTCTTCCTGAAAGATGTGGCATGTGAATAAATTAGAATATTCTTTATCTGGTTTATGCTACAAAGATAATGGACACAGAGGCACAGAGAGACAGACAAATAATCGGAGACAGAGGGAGACATACAGATGCACATGACTGTCCTGAAGTGACCTTAAAGAATCATGCTTTTTGAGATGACAGAGCACATTGCCTGTATGATAACATTCTGCTGATGTGTTATAATGTGCCAGCTACAAACTTTATGGATCAGACTACATAGCATCACATTCCAGAAGAACCTATCATAATATTCAGTGCTCTGAGAACCCCACATGTAATATTAAAATGGAGTGTAAATTGGTTGTAATGCTATAAACATTCAACTAACCCTTTTGGTAATAGTGATAGACCTTTAGATTTTATGAAGGATCAGAATGTTTGAACATTTAAACACCAACTGCAATATGATCACTGTACTTGCAGCAAGCCAGCCCGGATGGAACCTGCCCCCCACAGCCCCATCTGGGGGTACAGCCTGCTGGGTGGATGCTCAAAGGGGTGAAGTTCCCCCAAATGCTGTCCCTGGAGGGTTTGACAATGAACAGTTATATGTGGGACGAGCAAGTCATGAGGGTGCTCTGATCCCTGGCAAGATTGTTCCTTCACATGGAGTCTGCTATGTCGCATGGGGAGGACAGGAACATGGAAAGGAGGAGTACCAGGTACAGGATGCAGAGAATCTGCAAGGAGAACTTTTAATAGACAGTGTTTGTCATGAAATTTTATATCCATGTATTCAAGAAATTTCTTGCTTTTATGAAATTTATAGTTTGCCATGTGTTCAAAAAAGGTGGTCACTGGACTCTATCAAGATCCAATTTAATCTAGTTTATTCCCTCACCTAGTATTACTCCAAGATTCATTTTAATATCATACTTCTGTCTACATCTATGTCTGTCTCTCCCTGAAGTGTTCTGTCATATGCATATCTATTTTCCCTTTGATTTTGTGTGGCCTCTCATTTATCCTTCATGATAGCTACAAATATTATATCTGAGATGCAGTCATTTTGTGTTGCCAAACAACTTACATGAGACAGGAGTTATTTCAGTGTTTGAATGTAAGTTTCACACTGGAGTTCCTACTGTCATTTATAGTTGCTACAACATGTTCACATGGTACATCTAAAAATCAGCAGGGAGAAAGTTACCACAAAATACGTAATCATAGGGAGAAATTAATTATATTCTATTTCCATGCACAACACATGATGAAAGTGCATAAACATTTCTTCTAGTTGTCAGATTCATCATAGTCACATTCAAAATGTGCAGATTATATTTGCAATAGTGTAGACAGTGACGTCAGTGTTGATGTATCACAATCACAGAAGGATAGCAGGGGGGAAAAAATTCACTTGTTTTCCATCTGTATTGTCAGGGTGTGTGTCACTAGGGTATGTTCTAAATTTTGCTGCTGACCGAGCCACCTTCTTCGAGCTCTTACAGCATTTCTTCTTCCTCAAAGTCTGTATTCTGTTGCCATCTTAGGCACTCCTTATCCTTCATCCTTTGATGTGGACTTTATATTACAATCGTTGAATAAAATATTATTCATTAAATTTGAATGCTTGAGCTGGTTAAGAATCAGCAGCTTGCAATAGGCCTAAGCACACATTCATATGTGGAGGCATTTCATTCAACAGAAATGTCACAAACTTATTGAGCAATGTTACGTAGTTGGGGGGGAACATTACTGCAAGGAATGTGCATAGTAAATACTCATGTAATGATGTCTGGGTCATGCAGTAGACAGAAATGAACAGACATGCCAGTCAGCACTTTTTTGGTTATAAAATATGAAAAAACATTATGCAGCACAGAAGACCCCTCTTTCTTACAGGTACTGACTGGGTGTGAAGCTGCATGGGTGCCAGCTGCCGGTGGGAAGTTGCCTGATGGAGCTCTGCCATCTGGTGAGACAGAAGATGGTGAACCACTGTTTGTAGGACGAGCATCACATGAGGGAACCTTGACAGTTGGCAAGGTAAGAATTTTTGGCTGGATTGCGTTTTTGTTGTGTGCACACATGCAGGCGCGCGTATGCAGACACACAGACACACACACAGAGTTGCTTGATTTCACACCTCTGTATAACTGAACTGGTTGGTCTAGCAGTAAGTATCTGGCCATGCATTTGGTAGGTGCTTGATTGGAATCTCAGGTGGGACACTATCCTGGTTGAAGTTTTTTTTTATTGTTTACCTTAGCCCTCAGGCCAAATGTTTGGATAGTACCTCCAATATGCAACAGCTGCTTCTTCAAAATCTTCTCCAGTTCTTCATTCAACTGTCATTTTACAGTGTGACCCCATATAGTCTTATTACTGAGAGTACTGTTAGATAACTCAAACTCATGTCTATAGAAAACATGAAATATATTTCACTAAACAGTAGCTGCATATTCTGTGGTATGTTGTACTTCATTCAACCTAGAAGCCAGTGACTGCAAATGTGACATTTTGCTCTTAGTCAAGAGAGTAGTACATTGCACATGTGACTGTAGGCTAGGCCACATTATGGAACAAACCGAAGAATAAGGTAGACCTGATATGTAGTAGACACATGAATACTGTGTACCAAGGATTGAATATTCATTGCATCCTTATTACTGTGGGCAAAACATACAACATTGCATATTCCTCAGATTAGTGTCTTCAAGTGAGTTAGGAGCAGAATGATATATTTTAATGTGTTGTATTTTCAGTATCAGTAATAACATCGTGATATGTGTCCAGGTTATGGTGCATGTGGCTGGTGTTTAGGTAACACTATGTGCCTGTTAGGTGGGATATGTTGCAGAGATTACAGAAGTACAGTGATTTACATCTTCTGGAGCCAAATTAAACTACTGGTTCTTGGTTTTTGTTAAAAGATGGTGTTAACACATCAGTGATCTGACAGACTTGCTACATGTTTTATTTATCTAATTATACTGCATGGCACATCGCAGGGCATGGGTTGAGTTGTGAGCAATAGTCGTTTAATTGTAACGTGAAAAAAGTTCCACGCTCAGACACATGCACAAAGCTGCAGTGCGAATATGAAAGTGTTGATGGAATTATATCATTTTCTTTACATATTTCTATGGACCAGTCCACTGTTTAGGAATAAATTTGACACTGAATGTGATACTATTTTTATGAACTGAATGAGCAGAAACAAAATTAGTCTGCAGTAGTACATAAAATTAATCATCAACTTTATCATGTGATTTAAGTTATGTTGTAAAATATTTGTTGTATTTCTGTGTCTCAAAACAGAAGCTGAGATTTTACCATAAAATATGCTGTCACTCCTTCCAGATCCCTCCCAAGTAACCATTCATGATCATCTTGAAGCTATATTATCTCTACAATTAATAGTAGCTGCATGGTACACTCTGTATCATCAGGAGGAGAAACACATTCACTGTTGAAGAAATTCCATTGCTGGATTGAAGAAACCATGAGAAGAACAACAAAAATACACAACTGACTGGATACTACCTTGAGTCAGTTCACAACCACAGTGGAACCCCCATTTAAATTTTCTGAATATAATGTTTCTCCTTATTTAATGATCAGTTTCAATGACCCCAAGTCAATAATCTCAGTGTTAAATTTCCTACTCTTTAAGATATCCCTCAGTTCGGTGTTCCAGTTTGCTGCTGTCCAAAGAAAACCTAAACAGAGGTTTTATCATATTTCTGAAGATCCATTTTAATTTTGTCCTCCAGTCCTGTTGTCGGATTAATTTCTGTTCTTAATGACTAAGATTGCAGTCCCTACCTTTCATGGTGTTATCTCAGCACAGCTTCATCACATACAGCACACACTCTTCACTTATCTCAGTGTTACATAATGAAGCCTCTCTGCATATCATATATTGGTTTATCCTATCTATTTGTTTACAATTAAGTTTATGTCAGTCCAATGTGACATATAATGCCTTCACCACTTCAGAACTTAGTTACCTAACATGTTTAGCGGCCTCAGTAGTCTAGGGGTAACGTTCCCATCTCATGACTCAAGGTACGCGGGTTCAAACCCGGCGGAGGTCGTGGACTTCTTAAGGGCGGAAAAATTCAGGGAACAAGTCCTCCGGGAGGGACTTTAAGCCGTGGGTCCCATGTCGTAGCTTTGCGGCACGTAAAAGAACCTCATATCTCCTAAGGAGGTCACTGAGCCAAATTCAAGGACATTTCCTGCCCAACAGTAGTCTCTAATGCCTCTGATAGATGGGGGAAGCATTATAGATACCGCCAAGCCAGTAGAGGCCAAACTCGCTGGCTTGGTCAGGACTGATGGTAAGAACCAGTATCGGTAGGGTATAGAGACTGGTAGAATATCATAGAGGGAAGCACAATAGATCAAACTGGTCGCGGTGCATGGGGAAACCCACCCTCTCTAAATAACTAACTAACTAGAGTGACAAAATATTTGAGCACATCTGAGATATTGCTTATAAACATTTTTATGGTGAAGGCCAGCAGTGAATTGACAGTAGTTGGCAGTAGTAGTTGGACCCCTTCTCTTGTCAAACAGGAGGCCCCATTTTGAAACACGCACAAATAAGTGGTTTTGGAATGAAGAATAGTATGGTCATGGATTCTGACAGGGCCTGAAATCAAGAATGTCTTTGCTGGCAAAGGCCAGAAGTTCAGTAATGGGACTAATTAGGGAGTCATTGTAATAGTGAGCCTGTAACCAAGCAAGAGTGATATTACAGATTATGAAGTGATGGTGAATACTTGTATACTGTATAATTATTTGCAGATAAGATGATTCAGTCTCCAGTAAATCCAGTTCCTAATCTGAATTCCATATATAGTCACAATCACATAACATAACATGGTTATGTATGTATATTTTATGTTCAAAAATGACAGATTCTGTATCCAATAGGTTGGTTTGACCTTATATGGATTGACAGAATGCAATAAAAGTAAGTAAAGTAATCACATGACAATATTGCCAAACAAAAGTTTAAATCAAAATCTTGAAGAACGTCATGACATCCGTAAGAATTTTCATGACTTAATGACTTGAATAAACTGCTTCATATAGACCCTGAAACCTCAATTCATTGATCTTTGCCTATGCATGCTTCATGGCTTCGATTACTGTCAGGCATCTTATCAGAAGATTTTGTATGCCATGCCACTTGAGTTAAAACATCATTTGGAAGCATCACTGCAATATGATGCTATGGATCCTTAAGCATCTTCTGACAGTATTTGTTTACTGGACCATTGAACTTGTTCACTTTCTTTGTGTAGTAGTTCTGTCTTCACACATCACTTACTGAATATTGTCTGTACAATTGTTAGAAGAGTTTCAGTATTGTGAATCATGGACCCATGTTTCCTATATCAACCCTTCAGATAGTGTCTGAGCAATTCAGACTAGCAGACTATATGGTGTCACATCACAGAAGACTAGAAACAAGGAAGTAACTTCTGCTCTTTGTCTTTCATTTATACAGGATGCATGTGTCTTATCAGGCCCAAGAAAGTAAATAGTGAAGAGTACTATTATCTGGGATATAATGCTCTGTAGTCTGTTGAAAGTCAACCAATATTTTGGACGAACATATCACCTCTGTCTTCATTGTCAAAAAATAAGCCGTGCAAGATACCGGAATGAAAGCAGGTGACAAGCAGACCCTGAAGTTGGAGCTTCAGTTGACTTTCAAGAGACTACATGGCTTTATATCCCAGAGGATGGTTGTACTCTTCATAACCACTGCTCTGAGATCCTCAAACCCTACAAAATAAGTATTATGCTGTGTTTCAGGTTCAGCCCAGCCACAGTGTGTGCTACATTCCATATGGTGGACAAGAGTTGGCCTACCCTGAGTATGAGGTGCTGGTGGCCAAGTAATGGCCAGTTGTACTTTCCTTCATCACTTCTCCATAGCCACAGTGACCTGGGAACATGAATGTTATGTTCTGCATTGTATGCTACAATAATGTTGTATCTTAGAAATGAATTATTCTCATCTAGCATTCTACAAAATAGCATACTTTTTTGATGTAACATTAAACATGATATCAAGACAGTTTGGTTGATATGATTGTAACATATAATTAAATGTATTCTCTTCTCTTTTCTTACGGTTGAAGTGGTGATAGGAATTAATGTCTAAGTGCCCTGAAAATTGACAGGCAGTACCAGCCTGCATCATACCTCTGAAGCTTGTTATTAATCACAGAGTAATGGCGTGTTAAAACTGAATACCACTAGTATGTGCAGCTATTTTTAGATACACGTGTTGTGCATTATTAGATACTACAATGAACATAGTTTGAACTGAAGCCTACACCTGCCTTCCGTGTTGTTTTTTCAGCCAACACTAACTGAAATGTTTTTGCTTTGTTATGTTTATATATTTTTCTTGAGACTGCATTAAAGTATAAAATGATTTAAACATACATTTTGTATATCCTTCCAACCTTATGAAGTTACTTAACCCTTAGGCGACGAACGGCATTTAAAGTAAACCTTACTGGGTGGACGGAGGATATTTAAATTTTCTTACCAGAAATCCACAACTTTCATAAATTCGCTGTAAAGCAAAGAAAAATGGAATTTCAAAGCGAAAAATTATCGTCATATTCAGAAAAGAAAGTAGTTTTAGATTTTATAAACAGCACGGTGATATTTCAATGTTTTCATCTGAAGATCACAATTATTTTTTGAAAAAATTGCGTAAAAATTTAGATAAATACAGAATTTAAAACCGGAAATGAACACTGTGCTCTGTATAAAACATAACATTTCTATTAAATACTCTACTTTTAATTAATCATGCAGAATTACCTTAGAAATTAAGTTGTGTGTGATAGGCTTCAAAACATCCATCCACCCAGAGCCCGACATCACATTCCTGACAGTGAAACCTTGAGTCGCTCCTCCGTCCGTGTTTGCTGCATACCACACACCTCTGTGGCATTGATTTCTTCCCAGAAAGAGCCACCCTTTGACTGAAATGTCTTTCATGTAACCTCGGTATGACATTTTGTTCAACCCAACCACTTCGCACTTTCCGCTCCGTATTGACGAACTATTATGGACTGGCATATGCACATGCTCTTATTTGATTACTAGCTCAGAACAAAGCCCCATTCATTCTGCAGTCAAAGCTATGTGCTTATCTAAGTGTCATATCAATTTTCACCAAGCTAACTGAAGTACATATGTGTGTAGGAACAATAATCACAACTCTAAACAGCCTGAATATATTTCCTCTAGACAGGTTGTATAGACATTTTAGCAAACATAGGCTTCAAAGACCATACATGTGTTTATGTCAAAAGTTACAGTTACATTTCATGTATAATGCTAAGTAATTCAATTTTCAATAGAAAACACACATTCTTCAATCAAAGTCAGAATTAGAGGGCGTGTGATGCTGCATATATGCAGCAATCAGCGACATTTAAAAAACCAGCCGTGCTGCATATAAGCGGTGATCGTCGCAAAAGGGTTAACCTGGTTTCAAGAACCCAAAGGTTCAAAACCCTGTTCACAGAAAGCCATCAATGGACCCTTTCCTGAGCCTGTTTAATGTAGTGCACTCCTTCACATGCACGCACTTTCTCAAAGATCCCATCTGTTGCTACTTCTTCCAAATTATGTCTTCCTTTGAGGATTCCTGACCAGAATTCCATCTTCATTGATGTAACTGTCTTAAGAGTGTACCTTATTATACAATTCATGTCATTTTTTAATTTTGTTCTCTGGCACCCTCTAGCTGGTGTGTCCTGCCTTACACACAGCATTTCATAACTTTCAATTCTGCACCTAAATGAATGGTCATGTCTCTCCCATTGAATGTTTAAAATTCAGGCTGGATCAAGCTGTTATGCCCTTGATGTGTATTCAGAAAGAGCCTGGGTTCCATCTCAGCTGGAACACTGACCTTGATACCGAGATTTCTTATGGTTTTCCTCTCTTGTCAGGCAAATGCCAACATAACACCTTAAAATCAGCCACAGCCACTTCCTACCACTTACTTATGGAGCTGAGCCCTTCTTGAGGAGAAGCCAAATCTGCAGCTACTCAAGAATTTCCCAGCATTTTTTTGAACCAGAAGGTTCATTACCATGTTCACAAGAGCCCTCCACTGGTCCCTATCTTGAGCCAGCTCAATCCAATCCATCCATCCCCTCCTATATCTCTAAAATCCATTTTAATATCATCCACCCACCTATGCCTTGGTCTTCCCAGCGGTCTCTTTCCTGCTGGGTTTCCCACCAATATCCTGTATGCATTCCTTGTCTCCCCCATTCGTGCTACATGCCCTGCCCATCTCATTCTCCTTGACTTGATCATTCTAATTGTACCTGGAAAAGAGTAAAATTTATGAAGCTCCTCATTATGCAGTTTTCTCCAACCATCCGTCACTTCATCCCCCTTTGGCCCGAATGTCCATTCAAACTTCCTACCACATCCTGTTTAATTCATTATTTGCTAGTAATCCTATCATTCAATATAAATGTCCCCGAGCTGAGATTCAGGATTATATACCCAGTATCTGAACCTAATGAAAGTAGTGAAGTCTAAAGGGAATTTCACAAATGAATGCAAAACAGTTAAGAATTATTATTTTGTTTGGTTTGTGATGAACAACAGTAATAGCTGTAGAAATTATTCAGCATCTAATGAGTTTAGAGAATCATGTGGTACACATAATTTGAAGGACCTAGTTGAAGTTACTATTCTATTGCCCTGACATTTATTTGTATAAACTGAGGAACCCCCTGTACTAGCAGATGACTGCTGGTATCCCCGCTGAGATTTGAACTTGTTAACTCCCAAATTCAAATCAAAAGCACTGCCCATTATCTAGCCATACACTGCACTTTTGTGATGGTGCATGTATTTGGTCCAGCTGGCTTTTGTTGCATTCATTCAATACCAGTACGATTACCCACTATTTAAAATGTGGCCATCAGCCCAGAAGGACAAGGAGATGTAAAAGTTTCCATTTGAAGCAACTTGCTCACTGTTGCCGTTTATCCCTTTGTGTCTCATAACAGTAGAAAGTTACTGTAAAGAAATCTGTGGTGCCCATATGTTCACCTGTCACATGGCAATTCTTTCAGCCGAATTTGTGAATATGATAGTGTGTTACAGTGTATCGAAAATCTTTTCTTTTCAATCCATTATGACTCCTAAGAAGAAACCCATGCAAGAACTAACACAAAATCATATTTTGACTTTGATGCAGAAGATAGATATATTAAAATACTGGAAAAGAGTAAAAAGTGCATGAAAATTTGATCTCGATAAGAGTTCTGCTCATGCAATGAACTATTAATGTATTCAGCACACCCTGTTCCTGTGTGGATCTCAGATTTTCGTGACGAAAGCGGGACAGTTTGCTCGATCAAATAAGTCATACATGGGTTGTGGGAAGGGGGGATTAGGCGAAAGTATGCCTACTCATTTTGTTGGCAGTAAGAAGCAGAAACTTCTATATTGTCAACAAAAATTGGAGAGAGTGTGCAAAATTTGTTGAGGGTACAGAAAACAGTGAGCACTATAATCATGAAATCAACATCTAAAATGACATCAGAGTCACAAGGAAATGAGATTAATTTAAGACACAGGCAAGCTCTTATTTACCTTTGAATGTGAGCAGGAGCAGTGGGAATTACCTGATTATCACGAATGCTGTTAAAAAGTCTCTTTTGGAAAATCTGATGACTTGGAGTGTGGCATTTCAATTGCTTAATGCTGCGCAGATCACCAGTTTTCATTATTTGTTCCTCAGTCACTGAAGGTCAATTCTCTCTGTTCAGATTCATCACCAATAAATTGCAGCAGCAGCAGCAGCATGTTAACTTTCATTCAGCATTCAAACATTCTGAGTGTATGAAAGAAAATTTTCAAGTTGATTGGGAGAATGCTATAGAGTAATTCAGTGCAATCATCAACCTACTGGAGCTCTTTCTCTCTCTCTCTCTTGGTCTTTCTTTTTTCTGCCGTGGGTCAAGAAGCAAGGAGAGTGGTCACTCTCCACACTGCTTGACCCACAGTAAAAAGCAAGAAAAATTATCATTATCGTTATCATTTATTATCATTCAACAATCTATACATACAGGTATTACAACCATTTTGATAAGGAAATTGTTAGTTTTACATCTAATTCTCGTGCATATCTTTACAGTATACACTGTACCACCCTAATATAGGGGGTTTGTCATCTGAATAATATTATCTAGATCTAGTTACCATTAATTTCATTGTCTTTACACAAATACAACAGATTAATCAGCTACATATTACATTTACACACTTGAAAAATCAAAAGACATAAATTCATCTACAGTGTGGGGCTCTTGAATGTGTGTAGTCTTGTCATTACTCCAGTGACAACCCACTTCTTCGGAACAATTTGTTGGCCCTGAAAAGGACCGTGGTTGCTGAGATGCTTGACCAGAGAGGTAGCGCGGCGCGCGCCAGTAAGGAGAAAGGCTAGTTACAGTGAATGGCTGGTGAAAGGCTAGTCGTTGAGCGCGGTCGTAGGAGCCATGAGGCAGAGGCTACGCCAGATACCCAGTGAGTTGGGCCATAACATGACCACCGGCGAGTCCAGGCGCGGTGCCCTAGTGAGTCGGGTGTGAGAGCGCTGGAGGGCTGAGGCAGTTGTGCCTGGCGCAGCATGCCGATGCCTCCGAAGACCGAGCGCCGGCGACGAAGCCTGCTGGCTTAAGTTGCTTGCTGTGTGGTTTGATCGTAGACTGCAGTCGGACTGATGTTAGCGGTTCGAAGCTGCTCCTTTTTATACACTGCTCGGTGGGGCGGAGCGAAACTCGAAAGTGAGGAGGAAGAATTGATTGGCTAGCACGCGTAATGACGTAGATGCGTGCTAGCACCGATCCCAGTATAAATACGAACGTTTGAAGCAATCTGGTTGGTTAGCGCGCGTGATGGTGAAAAGTGATGTGAAGAGCGAGCGTTGCAGAAATGCGTGATAATGTGGGATGTTCCCACAACAGAATAAAAGGAAAATTTTCCCTTTGTTTTATTTGATCGGGGACATTATTGTACAAACTAATTCCCATATTTATCACACTCCTCTTAAAAAGAGCTGTATTACAGTGCTGTACATGAATATTTAATTTTATTCGTGTGTTATAATTATGAATATCCAAATTTATTGCCATAAAAGCCATTTAACATTCTCATCCTTTTACCAGAATTTCTTATGCCTTGGGTAATTCATTTGTTTTTCCTTGTCATTTTCATATAAACAGTCTTTTTTGGAAATGCTATATTATAGTAATAAAGGATCATGTCCATAAAATCATTAAAACTAGCACTTGCATCAGAGGTTGAAAAACTCTCCTGCCATAACGCCTTCTGCAATAAATAATTAAACTCATGGATACCCTCTTTAGTAAACTGTCTTTTTCTGCTCATTAAGCAATGTTATGCCTGGTAAACACTCGGATGCGTTACCACTCAAGAACAATAGTTGTTGATGGATCATGTTTGCACCTCCATGTTTGCCCATACAAGGACCTTCTGCATAATGTTCTCGATCCACTGTCCCTACTTACGGTGACAAAGGACCAGTCCCCACGCTGTACCTCCCCCTTCCCCTGCTTACACGTTTTAGCCCTGAAGTTGTAGGCAGCATGTACCTCAGGAATATAGGCAAAATCGCCACATCTGCACTGTGTAATAACATAAGAACAAAATTATCTTCAACATTTGGCTACTGTGAAAACCTACAACCAGTAATCTGTAGATAATGTTGTGTCTGATGTTCTCTCAGAGAAGCCCCATGGAAAGTGTAGTCTTGTGGGTTGTAATGTTAGTTCAGAAAGAACCAGCGATGTGGAGGAATACATCACTTGATTCTGCTGGTTTGTCGCTTGGCTGACTCTTCAAATCTGAAGATTTTCCTCCGAAATATTCTGCCCTCACCAAAGTACATGGCACTACAACCCAGAAGAATGCTTGTCATCAATCTGCAACATTTCCTGCCATATATTGACTGAAGTTCTCTACTAAGTGATTAACACAGGGGCAATCTCTTTGGCCACGACCATTTCTATGCAAGAATGCGGAACCCACAAATGAATTTATCTGGGAATAGCATAAATACCATAAAGAAAAGACAAAAGCTGTAATTGATGCTAGTGAGAAGAGTGGTGAAGAAGGCAACACTGATAAAACTAAGTATATATTCAGGTTTCATTGCCAGAATTGATGATATAACATAAAGATAGCTAAGAGAATTTTTAAAAATGTGACAGAGTTCAAATATTCAGCAATGAAAGTAACACACAAAAGTTTGATTTATAAGGAAATTATGAACAGATTAAATTCAGGCAAATTTTCACCATCCACTTCAGAATCCTCTTTCTTCTTGTCTGCTGTCAAAAAAAAAAACGTAAAGAGTGAGATATACAAAACTATTAATTTGCCATTAGTATCATATGAGACTTAGTCTCTTACACTGACGGCAGAACATAAGACTGAGCGTGTTTAAGAAGAGGGTCACTGGGGAGAATATTTGGACCTGGGATGAATGAAATAATTGGAGGCTGGAGAAATATACGCAGTGAGGAACCTTGTAAGTTGTACTTCTCGCAAAAAAATGTCAGCATGATCAAGCCAACAGAGAACAAAATATGTAATTTGTGATTGATAAGCAAACTAAATTTTTTTCAGGTTTAGATGTTCATGGTTTGAATACAAGAAATCGAAAGCAATTATATTTGCCAAACTCGAATCTTTCTGCTTTTCAAAAAGGTACTATGTTTACCACTATTAAACTATTTAACAGATTGCCCATAACCATTCAAAGCCTTAAAGATGATGGAATTAGTCTTTATATCTTATGAATAATTCCTTTTATACAGTTTCTGAATATGTGGAGCATAACAAACACTAATTATTCTGTTATCTTTGTGTTTGTTTAAATTTTTTGTATTTTTTTTTTTTTTATATGACGAGCTTCATGTCCATTTGTTTTGGACTTATGAAATGAAATGTATGTATGTATGTAAGGCATGTAGGACACATGACAGGGAGGATCAGTTCATGCAGGATTTTGGTACGAGAATGGACAAGGAAGAGGCCGCTAGGAAGAGGCGGACACAGAGGGGATGATAATAATAAAATGAACCTTAAAGAAATAAATTTGATTTGTTTTTGATTTGTTTCATTCTGGTCTGTCACACAAACAATTACAAAGACAAAATTAACACCGTCCAGTGTGACTATTTAAGTTTTTTCACTTGAAAACTCATCACCCTCACATGTTTTGATCCCTACGGATCATCCTCAGAGGGCATAATAGGTCGAGAAATGTGGATTGAATTAATCTGTTTCAGGGTAGAGACAATGGGTGGGCTTTTGCATACATTGGAATTAACTTAGGGGTTCAATAAAATCCTGGGAGTTTCATGAGTGGGTGAGAAACTGACAATTTCCCAAGAAAGTCTCAGCGCTACATGTAGCCAATCTGATCAGGTCATGCCATACAAATGGTCAACACCAAGGTAATTTTTAGAAATAATTATAATATTGTGATTCATATTGAACGTACTGTGTATTCCATCTTTTTTCGCTTTTCATTTCTAAAAAAAAAAAATCCAGGATACTCACACAGCAGGGTGATTTCATAAGCCTACTTTTATATTTTCAAACTAGTGGAAGTAGGCTAAAAATATGCACTACTTATTACTCTCTTGTATCTTATAAGAAATTTCCATAGGATTCATGGATTTGTTTTAATACTCTCAAATTTTTTATTCTGCGCCCCCTGCCAGGATTTTTTTTTTGTGTAATTCGTACCGGAAATGTGTGTGCATCGTGCTGCACTCTGTTATTAATATATGTAATTTGGAATACTACTTGCCGCTACTTGCCGTTGCTGTAAGGAAGTAAGGAAGTAACGAAGGTAACAACCGTCACCGTTGAAGATGTTCGTGTCCCTTCCTGTCAGTTTTATAATCTGTACTGACTTGTGAAGCTGTGAAATAAGCCATTCTGTTGGTTGATATTTTGTCTAATAAAGAAGCTGAATGCGGTGACTATTCGTGAGTAAGATATAGGTAAATGTTTGAGACTTGTTTGATTACGCAGAAAGTAGGTAATAATTGCACCACTATATACAAAGTCCTAGTCTTGGATTATATTGAACACTTATCTAAATTCGCGCCCGTCAAGGTGTAAGAGGCTTTTCATATGGGTTCATGTAATCGAGATTGTGAATATTTAGTATACCGATTTCATCCTTATAGTTTCATAGATTACAACCTAGGTAAAATTGTGTTTAAAAGTTGTTCCAAATTAACAAGTCGCTTGAAAGTTTATGTAAAAACAATAAAGGGCTTGAAATATTTTGTGAAATAAACTTTACAAAAGCATATACAGTTTTCGTTGGTTAAAAACTCTCGACCATTTACGTGCCTTGAAATTCTTATACAGCGAAAGGTTAAGAAACTGATCTTGTGAAAACAGTAGTCAGTTTAACTTATTTTCACCACATTCAGGTGTTACTGTTTAACATCTGAATTTGTGTAATCCATTATTTGTAACGTATCATCATCACATCGTTAATTCGATTTTGTGGGCCGTAAGGCATGACTGGTTATACTGTCATGTTGTCATTGAGATTGTTTTGTGTCAGGACACCAAAAATGCAGTGGTTATACATATTTCGACCAGAAGATAGAAACTTTTTGTGAATTTCATTCCAACACGCAAAGTTAATCTCTTTTTTTTTATAACACCCAATGTCTGCATACTGTTCTGAATTATTCTGTTTATGAAGGAAGATGGAGCTTATAAATTTTGAAACATTTATAGCAGCTGTCATGTAATGGGATGTGGCAGATAATGCGGATTTTCTGTGTCCCAGTGGCATGTGTTCTGTATGTAAAAAAGTAAAAAAAAAAAAAGAAAGAAAGAAAAAAAGAAAGAAAGTAAAGCTATCCCTGTAACAGGCCGTGAAGTCCCATAGGGTTGTGAGACGTTGAGGGTCCCACATTATCTAGACCATCGGCTCAAAGATGACAGTAAGGTTGTCAGCCTTACATACCGGCCGCACTTTGCTCCCCAAGAAAATTATTTAATTAATTCCTGGTAATTTCTGTTAGAGGCTGAGTGAACTCCAGGGCCATAGTGCAGCTGGAAGGATTAGGTCAATCGAAAAAAATCCAATGACCTCATCGGGACTTGAACCCTCAACCTTCCAGCTTGTAGCATAGCCCCTCAACCAACTAGGCTACCGCGTTGTGTATGTATTTACAGGATTTAGCAGCACTTTTTTCTAATAAGATTCTGCCTTGTAATGTAACTGTCAGGAAGTAACACATGTTCTTCAATGCCATATCTCAGCGACAAGCACGCTGAATGCTCACAGCCAACATCATGTGAACGTGTGTGCAGTGACAGATGAAAATGGACTGTGTGCTTATTACCAAGGCAGTCATATAATGGTAGACTCTTATGTGTTAGTAAATGTCACACCGTGTGCAACAGTGAGTGGCTGAATGATTGTTAGTAACAAACTGCCACTGTCATTGGCTAAACTTCTTGGCGTGTTGGATGATGCCATGACATGTAGATACTGTGTTTTGTATTTTTAACATAAACTGTAAACATTTATGAGAACCATTTGGTTAATAAATGTTGTGTAAAGAATTTGCTACCAAATGGTGTAAATCGGTGTCGTGTAATATTGACGGTATTTTCTAGACCAAATCATAGATTTGCTGCACTGATGGAGCTTTCTGTTGTTAATTTATTATTGGTGAATGCTGGTAACAGTGGAAACTTGTAGTGAGTGCATACTCTTGATTTAGACAAATTGCATCATTTTTGTAGTTTGTACTCTTCACCAAATAAGCTTTAGGGAATTTAGGATTTGATGGAGTTGTGTGTGCTTCCAAAACACTGGTAAATATCTACCAAAATATGTGGTGTTACGTTCCAGATGGTAGTAACACCATTGTCATAGTCTCTATTGTGAGAAATTTTGTGTTATGTCTCACGATTTTTGTTCAGGAAACAGGTCATTGGGACATTTGAGATAATATTAAAATGGGCCATAAGGGCATGGTGATTCTGTATTGTGTCTGAAGTATGTTTAGGTTGCATCTGAATCCAGTAGCATGGAGTTTTGTTTGGTGTAGGAAGTGCTTCATTGTTTTAATGTATTGTATAACTGTGAAGGTCATGGAGCCTGTTAGATGGCCAGCACTGCCACCTGCTGAGGCGGGACCCAGTGCCAAGTCTCCACGAGAAGACAGGCCACCTGCTTCAGCAAACAGCCCCACACTTGAAAGGGAGAAATCTGCAACACCAACAAATGAGCACCCTTCCTCGCCAGAGCCAAACTGTGCCATCTGTTTGGGAAAGTCACAGAACAAATCATTTACTGACAGTTGCCTGCATCAGTTCTGTTTCAACTGTCTCCTGGAGTGGTCAAAGGTAAGGCTCACAGCACATTACTGTCATGAGACCATATCTGAGCTAATCATGTAACTGTTTGAAGCTTGATGTTCTAAATAATATTTAAAAATTCACATCGTACATGTTAGAAAGCTCATTACATCTCCATTGCAAAGATCAGTTGTTAAATGGTGTTAAGGGGGTAATTGCTGTTTACTATAAGAATCGTGCAAAACTCATAAATAGTGTAGTTGGTATAGTGACTGGCTATGGGCTGGATGACCAAGGGGTCAGAGCTCGAGTCCCAGTAGGATCAAGATATGCAGACGATACAAGTATAATAGTGACTAATCCAGAATACGCTGACTACAAATCAACTATGACCAGAATATTTTGCAATATTAATACATGGTTCAGAATCAGTCTGTTAAAATTAAATATTCATAGAACCCACACTCTCCAGTTCACTTTAATGAACTATGAGGATCATAATATGCATAATAATATTGATCAAAATTTACCGACTAACTTAGAGTGTATCAAATTTTTAGACCTAAATATTGATAATAGGCTGTGTTGGAAGAATCATATTGATTACCTTGTTACTAAATTGAGTTCTTCTTGCTTTATTATGAGAACAGTTAAGCCTATGATATCATTAAGTAGCTTAAGAATGATTTATTTTGCTTATATGCATTCTGTGATGACATATGGAATTGTCTTCTGGGGCAATTCTTCATACATGACGAAACTTTTTATGATCCAAAAGAAAATTATAAGGATTATGATGGGATTAAAGAAAAGAGATTCATGTAGAGACTCTTTCAAGGAAATGAAAATTCTGCCTTTGTGTTCTCAATACATATATTCCTTAATGCAACACACTATAAATAACATACATTTGTTTACAAGAAATACGGAGGTTCATAATATTGGTACCAGACAAAATGTTAACCTATTTCCACCGAGTACTTCTCTTAATAAAGTTCCATAGGGTGCATGTTATTCAGGTATAAAAATCTACAATCATCTGCCTAAAGAGCTGAAACAATTATCTAATAACCAGAAATCCTTTGAACATTCCCTAAAAAGATTTTTACATGCTAACTCTTTTTATGCATTAAATGAGTATTTTAATTACAAATGTACATAAATTTGAATGTTTTAACGCCATATTTTAATATAGTTGGTGTGGGAGATGTGAGGGGTTGTGTTGTGGTTACTTGTGACTTATGTCTGTTAATCAGGATATTATCTTTTTGCCTCGTATTGTTGTATGTGTTAGACAGTTAATGTGGGTGATATTAGTTGTGTGGCTTGTGTGACTTTGTGTATGTGTTTGGTGACTATTTCCACATCCTGGGTCTGTTGCCTGTATGGATGTTTATGGAAAGTGGAGGATGTGTATGTATGTATATGACGAGTCCTGTATCAATGTGTTTGGATTTATGGGAAAATGAAATAAAGAAAGTATTTAATTCAGTTAATTTGGGTAATTTGAGTGAAATTGTATTAATTTTAAGTTTTTATAGTAATGCTCTTTTTAAATTATGTTTAGTAATTATAATTGTAATAATTTTTTTTCTATGTTAGTTGACTAGTGTGTGTGATTTTGGTTGTGTGACTTATGTAATTTATTATATGTATACATCTATTATCAAAGGGACTATTTCCACATCCTAGGTTTTTTTGCCTATATGGATATATGAAAAATAAAGGAAATGAATGAATGAAAGAAATTTCTCCACATTGTCCAGACCAGCTCTGGGGTTCACCCAACCTATCCAATGGGTACCAGGGGCTCTGTCAGACATGATGTCCGTGAATCTGAAGTCCAAGTCACATTGCGACTGACGTTCAGTCAGTCAGTAAGTCTTGGTGTCAAGCCCCATTTGGGGCTCATGACCAGATATTTAGTATTACTGTTGAACGTTACAGTTTTGTTTTTTGTAGGATGTCCTCTCTGATGAAAGGACAGGTCTTGTCTTTTTTACATGGTGCTGGACCTTGCCAGTGCAGTGTTTCTTGGGTCCGAGTCCCTTGGGACTCATGATTGTATTTTACTGTCTCAGATTTGAGACTTCCCTACTCATCGCCTCCTACGACTCACAGGGTCACGGTGGAGGTATTTGACCCCACCTCCACGTAGGTGTCTCTGAATCCGAAGTGTTTTTGTTTCTAGCACTTATTCAAATGTGACATGACACACGTGACAACCAAAAATACAGATGATCAATTACTGAACAGTTCTGTCCTCTTTTATGGCAAAATAGTGAAATCTGGTAGATTCCTTCATGTTTTTGGATTTCTGCATTTTTCAGGTACTGACAATGACACTGACACTGGCAGTCATAACCTAAACTATGAAAAACTATAGAACGTGACATTTTCAACTTGCTGGGTGATCCATACTCAAAATATTATGCCCTTACTGAAAATCTGACCGTGGGCAAAAGTATAGTACTTTTCAAAGGGAGAAAATTACACACCCGTGTTTCAGAATAAAATTTTATAAAATATGTGACTTTTCTGGTTGTACGTATGTTACATATGTTTCTATGGAAGGAGAGGATGCATGTGGCCACAAACATGGTAGCAACTAACACAATTCTAACACAACTGACAGAAAAGGTGGCAGGACATGGACATAGACATATGTGAATGGCTTATCTTAGTCATCTGATATATGCAGTTATTTGACAAAAAAGAAATTCTGTTGTTATGGTGCAGACGGACCTAACAGAAAGGACTGCCACAGAGCTCTGCTTGCTGCCCGATTCTTGTTGGTTTCTCACTTGACTTACCATGAAGACAGAATGTTTATGGACTTACCAGACTACATGGCATTAAATCCCAGGAGATAATAATCTTCACAGTGCTCTGCTTACTTGCAATTTTCTTGTTTGGCTTACCATTTGGCCTTGAAGATGGAGGCAGTATTCTCCTCCATGCTGTCAGTGGGTGCCTACAAGGCTACACAGGGCTACATATCAGAAGATAGTACTCTTCATACCCCAGAATATACTGTCCATAAAGATTGCTTTTACATGTTACCCGTGGGACACTCCAGATAGTACTCTTCATAACCACTGCTGTGAGAACCCCAAATCCTACAATATACAAGTATATTATGATGGTATTTTATTTTTATTTACATGTATACATTCCGTTGATCCTTATGGTACAGCTGACCAGTGGATATGGATTTTGTCCCAGGTTAATAGATTAAAATACACAAATACAGAAACTACATACATACTTTTGTCATTAAGACAGTTAAAAGATTTATATTAATGTACAATGCAAAAAATGATCAAAATTATAAAACAATAATTGATACAAAATACTTAGGTAATGATATAAAATTATAACATATCAGGGGTACAATTACCAATTTTAATTACATACATGGTTAAAATATTCCTCTAAGGAATAAAAAGAATTTGAAAGAAAAAATCTTTTTAGCCTCAGTTTAAATAGTTTCACATCATTACTCATACTCTTGATTCTGGATGGCAGGTGGTTATAAGCCTTAATACCAAAATAATATGGTCCTTTCTGAAAGATTGTTAGGCGTGATGTGGTAGCCGGGGGCTTCTCAACCTGTTGCAGTTTATCAGGTTAATCTCACCCACACGTTCATCTGAGATTTTCTTCATGCTTCAGTCAGTTGATAGATCTGACATTTATGTGCTGGTTGCTTTACCTTTGCTGGTACCTCTATGAGACCTTAAGGTCATTGACATCACTAAGAGCAGCATTAGGTATCCATCCTCTAGGTTTAATGGTGACCTTTGAGTGCTACTTAGAAATAACAACTTCCTACACTTAACAGTGTTTGGCTTGAATGGTTGAGTCTGTCTTTTTCCTTCTGTCCAAAGACTGGCTGAGCAACTTTTTCTGCTGAAAATGAAAGTGTGTGGTTAATCAGGTTTCAGTCTCTTTGGAATGATTATTGGATCAAAGAATTATTTAGAGGTAATTGCACATCCCCTTATGCATGTACTGACACCCTTGAGATAACTGCATATACCAGTTTCATGTACCTGAACTTATAATTTGTGAACTGCAGCTTAATGCCATGTCTGCTGTTATCTATCACCTTGATTATTGCATGTCTTATTCAGCCTTCTGTAGTAGATACAGCATTATTAAATGACTAAAGTCCCTGTGCGATTTTAATGTTGGTGTTGCAGGTAAAACCAGAGTGTCCACTCTGCAAGCAGAGCTTTAAGTCCATCATTCACAATGTGCGCTCCAATGAGGATTATGACCAGTATCATTTGCATCCCGCATCAGAGAACCCATACCCATGGTTAAACATGATCAACATGGACATGGCACAGCAGCGGTTCAGATACAGGTACCAGTGCTATCCTTTGTCAGACACGTGCAGTGTGAGGGAAGCAACATTTCGGGCACAAACAAGGGGAGAGATTTTAAGCAACATCCTGAGCACATGAGAGATACCTGTTAACACGTTAAGCGCACAAGGGAAATGTTTTGTGCACACAGGAGGGAAAGACTTTTTGAGAACACAGGAGGGTAAAAATGCTTTGAGCACACATGAGAGAAATATTTTTCAGCATACATGATGGAAACAGTTTTGCGTGAAAATCTTGAGGAAAGAGACCACTTTGGGACACAGGTTTGTGTATGATGAAAGATGAATCTTTCAGAAATAGTGTTGTGTAAATGTGAACTGAATAGAACTGTTCAGGATAAGTTGCAGTGGTAGGCATTTTTTTTATGACAGCTCTAAGCTATCAACTATGATGACAGATCCACTCTGACACCTGACCGTCACCTAGAGAGAGTAATGGGATATCTGGAACATGATCTGCAGCGCAGAGTGGAACCTGGTGATGTCGTGCCAACTCAGAGAAGCTGGCGTCAATGGCGTGGAGTGGCACCACCTGAATTTAGAAGGAATGTGTACAGCCAGAACCTGTGGCTCACCTCGCTCCTGAGTGTGGGTCAACCCAGGGATGTCTCACCTCAGAACTTCAGGTGTGTACTTAAGATTCCCAGCAGCCAGTCATATTTACCAGTGGTACAGGATGTTCACATTTCCATTGTCATTGCCATTTCAGTGCCGGGTTGCTAGTATCTGATTTATTAGTATGTTTTCTGTGCCATGACTCAGGTGGTTAGTCCTGCCTACTTACTGCTGAGCCTTGAGTCATCCGCAGGGTAGTCCAGGTTGGATTTTATGGAAGGAAAAGTGCAGCTGGGTTCAGTTTTTCTCAAAGCTCATCACATTTCTTCCATCAGCAATAATTCCACCAGCATTCTGTATTTGTTATCAGAGGCTTCTATAATAGGCACATTTGGGGCCCTGATACCAAGAGACTGTGCCTTAGCCCATTCCTTAAATTCATTCATCAGTAATCTGTCAGACGACAGGTCCACAGTCTCTTCCAAAACAGTTCCTCCACTTCATCCGATCTAGAGCTTTCTCCTTAAAATGAGAATATCCTCTTCTGTCCCCAAGGTCATCCAGCATCTTCTTACATCTTCTTCCTAATCTTCTGGTCACTTCTATCCGCCCCTCTATCTTTCCTTCAATAACTTCTTTTAGACGGCAATTCCTTAAATAATAATTCAAAATTAATTTTTTCATTGAGTATATTTTATTACTCAGTGGATGTTAGGAGATGATGTGAAACATTTCAATATTGTGTTAATCAAAATGAGAATACAGTGGTGATACAGATGATGTCCTGCAGTAGGGGAATGGGTAATACCACAGAATAAATCTGTCACAGAATGCTAGAAATTGGAAACTCAGACATCAGTATCAACAATAATGTAGCTATAAGGATTGAGAGATATGGAATTAAACAACTGTATTGGCTCATACTGAACCATGCATTCCACTTATCTTGCATGGTGCTGTGCCCATATGTACATCTGCTCTGTAAACAATGTGAATGAATAACTTCATATCCTTTCAGGAGGGAAATCATCTATGAAACATGATTTAAAGCTTTAGCTCTCTGGAAATGGACCCAGTCATCAGGTACATGAAAGGGGCATTTTCTCTAAATATAGAAATTTGATCAGAGCTTTATATATTCATAATATTTTTGTATTCTGTAGTTTATGTATTCATATCTTTTTCTTTTTTATGGTTTATTTTGCTGTACTGTCAGTAGCTCAGTCTGTATAGCATCAAATGATAGGACGGTTGCTGACTAGTGAGTTCGAAAGGATTTGGAACGAAATGGCTATGGTCTGATCAAGGTACTATCCTGGTGTTTACCCGGAGGTTTTGAATAAATCCGCTAGTGTCCCAGCCAAGATTTGAACAGCGCATCTCCTGAATGCAAGTCTGTAGCAGTACTGCCCCAACAGCCTGCTTGACCAAGGTGCAATGTTAAAGATGTGGAGTATATATGACAATGTGTTTGAAAATGATTTGTGTTACAGGAATCATCCTGAGGAAATGCATCGTCTGATTCCATGGCTGAACCGAGAGCTGCAGGTAGTTATGCGGAGCCCAGGGCTGGCAGCCCGTGTTTTGGATCTTGTGATCAGTCTGCTGCCCCAACATCACATACACTCAAGAGAGTTTCGATCCCAGCTTGAGACCTACCTCAGAGAACACTATAATCACTTTATCCATGAGTTCTACGTTTTTGCTCGCTCACCTTATGACATGATTGGCTTTGATGAAAATGCTCGTTACTCAGTACGCAATATCTCGGTTTGTGCATTTGTATTATTTATGAATTTATGCTTTGTATATTGGAATTGATGATAGAAGATTCATTTCTAGGACTATATGCCAAAGAAGAAGAATATTGAACCTTCTGCTCATTATGAGCAGGTTGTTTCAGTCTATATCTGCATGTTTTGTTTCTGTAATAGCTCAACATATTTCAACCTCCTTCTCTCCTTGCAGTTTCCCACAACATTTTGCATTGGTGAAGTAGTTGTTTCTCTTGGCTGTATATTGCATGTAGGGTTAGTGATGTTGGACAGATGGAAATACACGCAGCTGAGCAGTGAGCACCTGAGTTTGAAAATCTAATGCTGGCAGAACTGATTCTAGCAGGAGGTGAAAAATTACGGTCTGAGATCCATAAACTCACTTATTGTATTTGAATTAAGGAAGAATTGCCTCAGAATATAAGAAGTCTGTTATCCTACCATATTACAGGATCATTGTTACTAAAAGACTCCTGGAGGAACAGAAACGGTTTTGGAATAAAAACTTTAAAATTTTCTATTCCTTTTAAATCAGATGGCAAGCTGTTATGTATTTTAATTCCCACATTAATTACACTTATTTTGCAACGAACAGTGCTGCATGTTTGTACATACAAATCCTATTTTCCGTTAGTGTTATACTTGTGAATGTCAGACTAATGAGTTATGTAGATCTTGTTCTTTTTAAAAAGCATAAGATCTCATATAAATATCTGAAGAGGTTACTGTTAAAATCTTAAATTCACCAAACTGACTTCTACAGAACACCCTGTTTTTTCATCCCTTTAATGAGCCTTAGACCTTTTTTGTGTGTAATTTGAAGACTGTATTACTGTCATTTACTCCCCCCCCCCAAAAAAAATAATACCAGATTTCAGTATAGATTAAAATTTAGTAAAATAAACATTCCTTACTACTGGTAAACTTATTGAGTCTCATATGAATTTCATGAAATAAGGAGCTTTGTTTAATTTATGGCAAAGATATAGTATATGAGTGGCCCAGCTCTGACATACTTGCAACAACACACCAAAACACACTCAGACAATAAGAGACTGCCATAGAGCAACAACAACACAGCTATGAAATGCTGATATGCCAATGTCATCAAACCATACTGAGGTTTCTGTCCACTACTGCTATGGCAAGTACATGGCGGCGAGTTCACAAACGTTATTGTCAGACCTCATATGAACCTTCAGGTTCCAAAGAATTTTATGAAATTCATGAGTAGCTGAGTGACTTATAGCCCCTCAAGAAAACTTGGCTCCGCCATAACTTTTAGCCACAATGTTTATGTAAAATAGATATGACTAAGTAATTAGTCTCATAATTTGCACCTTTGCATCGTTTCTTTCCCCCGCTTTACGTACTATAAGTCCCAACAGACATGTCATGGCTTCTAGAATAACACACACACGCATTTTCACTTGCCCATCTTGTGAAATATGGCAGCTGGGATCAACCAGTGCTGTGGGCAAACAGCTTGCCATAGGCAGTTTGTGTGGAAGGGAAGAGGCTAACAGCAGTCACTATGGAAGAACTGATACTTGTTACTGGTGCACTTTCTAAATGTGAGCTACAGTGAATAGCTCAAGACATAACCCATTGACTCCTGTGATTTGCAATGCAGTCTCAAAACAGCAGTTTATAAAGTTCATAAAAAATGCTCATTTTGGTGAGTACTTACAAGCATATGAGATGTGGCTGAAATACCTAAACTTCAAATCTGTATCATAACATCTAATTGCATGTATTAATATACATCCTTAAGGTTTAAAAATTGATGTGGGGGGTAGCACTAGTGTTTTATGGTTCATTTGCAATGAATGGCTGCAAAAATGCACCATGTTGGCTCTGTCATGTTTCTCCATCTGCATTTAACAACTCTAGAACTGCTACACATTTTCACAAAATTTGATACTTAGGATTTCTAAAATTTTCCAGGATGTTTCAGTATTGGTTAAAATGAGACAACAGTAAAGGACACCGTACATGAAGGTCTGTGTGTGCTGAGACTTTCACAAGCATAACTCACATGAAACTTACTAAATATCGGAATGAAAATTATTTTGAACAAAACTTGTAGAGAAAAATGAAATTTACAGTTCATATTGAATATCCTTTTCCTGCGAGTTATGGTTGTCAAGATATACAGTATAGATTTTAAACTGCATGCTCCTTGTAAACCTGACTGCTTGTCACAAGCTGGCCTTTACAGCCGAAGTCCCTCTGTTGTGATATTCTGAATTGGCAATTCCCAGTGATTTTTGCTATAATGAAATTCTTGTTGTAAGCTGTAACTCAATTTGCCATAGTTCCAGTAACTGCCGGTGGAGCTGTAAATTACATGGGTAAATGTAGAAAATATTGTGATTATCAGTAAAAGTTGAAAGAAGGCTCCATTTTGGTTCATATCAGACCAATACAAACTGTTGTTACCATGAAACAAGTTTTTAATTACCTCAAAAACTGTTCATCATTACAAGAAATTGTGATTTTGCTTTAGATGGATATGGTCCATGAAGTTCTATCTGACAGTTCCGACAGCGATGTTGTAATTCTCCCGTCAGATGAAGGCCACCCTTCTTCCAGATCTCACAACATGATGACTCCCGTAGCACCCCCTGGATGCAGCTCTCCGGTAGCAGGACCTTCCAGGGTATGAAATGTCTGCCTCATATTAAATTATATATAAGTGAATGCTTGAGCTGTAGACTTCAGAATCTTGGGATATTTGTTTTACATCTTGGTCACTATATGGCACAAGGACATCACATTTACGAGTCTGTACTAGGTTTGTATTTATTTATTTACGCTTTATTTCAAGAGTCTTTCAATAACGTGGATTGTGCAGTGTCATATGGTAGGATGATAGGTGAGTACTGAATTTGAAAGAATGTGGAAGGAAGCATTGTAGCTTAATTTGGGGGGGTCACAAGGGAAAATCATGAAAACCTTCAAGATTTGAACCTAGGAACTGAAAGTAAAGCAGGAATTCTAATTGCATAGCCTTGGTATATGATTTGTAGGTTATAATATCTGCCTTCTCAGACATTCAGTTTGAGGAATGTGTACAACCAGAAGTTTTTAGATATTTTTTGATATGGTGCAGATTGAAAGAGATACTAGATGTAAACCTGATTTCTTTCATTCTGGTCTGTCACACTAATAATATCATGAAAAGTTAAAACAGTTACATCTAATGTGACTAGTGAAGATTTTTCTTATTTAAATTATTTATGCCCTTACATGTTTCATGTTTCATGAAAATTTATATCTGGAACAGTGATAGTATATCCACCATGTTCAAAGCGCAGGCTGATTAGACATTGATATTATTGTTGGCAACTTCCTATGGAGTTGCTGCACCACTTGCCAAGAAAAATGCTGTCGCATGACTGGAACTACTATCACACATTGTTTACTTCTTTCGTTAATTGTTAATCAAATATAGTAATATAGTATTCATCGTCATAGAAGATGTTCAGAATGTCTACCCTCTGCTGTGAGAAATGTCTGAAGTCTTCTAAACAGATTTTGGGAAACTTGTTGTAACATTCAGATAGTTTCCTTAGCTGTAGATTAAGTATTTCATTAATGTATCACTGAGCATCAAAAATTCATTCATAAAATATCAGTCAAACGATATGGTTTGTGCTAATTGCACAATTGGTCATAAATGGGAAGTTGAATTAGAGCATGAGGATTTTCATTACTCAAATACCTGTTGTTTTGTGAGTAAACATATCCCTGGAGATTAAAATTAGCCTCATCTTTGAAAATTGTCGGCTTAGGATCAGTAAGTCCATCATGCACAAGACAGGTAAACCAATTACAAAACCTCACTCTTTTTTCTTAATTCACAGGCTTAATTTCAGGAACAACAGTAATTTTATATGGACGAATGTGCAACAGTTTATTTGCTGTCCATGCACTGCCTATAGAAACACCACTTTGTTGTGCTGATTGCTGCAAAGATTTTTGAGGAGAATTTTCTAATCGATGACCAGTGTCATCAAGTTTTACCTCAGTTAGAACATGATTTCTTTTAAACGACTTTCTGTCAATTAAAATGCAGTGGGTTCAAACTTTCTTCACTAATTTGGAAATTGTATCTCCAGATGGACATGTTTTGGGAAATTTACAGTGAAATTTTCTTCTGCATGATTTGTATGACTTTTTTTCTCACATAACAATCATAAATTAAAACTCTTTGTTCTAAATTATGTCTCACATGAGCCATAAAGACACAGAAAAGAGCACTGTAGAAAGATGCTTATATAACACTTGATGGCTTAATACTGACCAACACTGACTGACTCACTGATCAGGTGATCACCAAATGAATGACCTTCAGTTTGCTGTGATGACGTACAGAGAAGCTCCATGAACGTCTAATAAGCCTGCACAGTGAACACTCTGTACAAGGCAACAGTTGGGCCATTCTGTAGCACATTAGACAGACCTAATTTTCTGTCATACTGTGATCACTTTTCATTATTTTTATATCACAAGTAAGGTAAAGTTATCTCTGCACTTAATTAATTTACCACCTCATGATGACATGGGGGGAGTGGAGGTGAGTTGTCAGCTCCATGCCCTGGCCTCTTCAACGCAAAGGATGTAGCGCCAAGTACCCATAGTATAGAAAACTCACCAAAGCTGGTTTTACACTGTGGGAAGGAGAAAGATCTCTTGTCACTACGGAGAATTGAACTTCAGTACTTGAAGCATCCAGCCTGTAGTCCATCACTATAGTGACCTGTCGTGACTCATCTCATACACAAATATCCATAAGGTGGAAGTTTTCCCGAAGTTCCAGTTTTTTTATTTTTAATAAATCCCTATGTATTAATTGACTCCTTAAGCCAGAATTTAAACCTCTGCTATTTGTACACCGCATCGTATTTAAATGACATACCTATATCTCACAGCATTCTTTCACTGTTATAAATCTAGAGTATTTTAGATACTATTAAAATGAAGTTTATGAAATTTTCAGGAGATGTTACAAATAGTCTAGACTTCCACCCAGAAGAATGTCACTTGTTTCTAGGCCATGTGATGTACTAGACAGAGCCATTTTGAAGCCGCTAACCAGCTGGTTTAGAGATTGCAATACATTCCTTCTGGTTCCTATGAAATCAGTCAGAAGAAACAGCCACTGCAGTGGAAACTGTGATTGTTGGAGGTATAATGCCTCAAATTCCCCACTAAGAGATCACAAAGCAGTTATGATTTTTCTATGAGCTTGCAGTTGGCTAGGATGTACATGGTCACCACCAGTAGCATATCAGGCTAGCCATGACTACAAATAATTATAACCATTTCACTAATTCCCACACTTGGAACTTCTGAAGTGACAGCTTTGCTTGCTTAACCTCTCTTTTCTTGTAACGTATTCTGTTTATTTCTGCAGCACCATGAAGTTCCACTGGAGACCACCCCAGCACTTTTTTTTAATTCACTTAGTTGGGGGTGGAGTCCAACTAGGTCCACTCAGCACGGCGGCCACTGATTGGCCTATTGTAGCTTGCCCCGGGTGATTATGATGATGGAGAATTTGGTGGAATGAAGATTGGAAGGGGAAACCGAAGTACCCAGAGAAAACCCGCCCCAGCACCATTTTGTCCACCACAAATCCCACTTGACCAGACCTGAGATCGAACCCAGGCCACCGCGGTGGGAAGCCAGCTACTAACCGCTTGAGCTATGGCGCAGCCCTCAGCACCTTAACATAGTGATAGAGCAGTTTAGCTCTTCAGCTTCAGTTCTTGCAAGAACTTCATCTGAAGCCTTTCTGAGAAGGGTTTCTTCTTTAGATCCCCCCCCCCACACACGCACACACACTTTAACTTTTATGGTATTTAGATAACAGCAGTTTTTCATGGTGAAATCAGGAAGTTGCACTTTCTTCAACTTCTTATCAGTAACAGTTACTTGTTTTCCTGTTGTAAGTCAGCATAACTGTGAGGACAGGCTCTTTTGGTGTAGTTTTGTAAACGACACTCCATATATTGTATTAATTCAGAAGTACAGATCTGATAGGAGCAGGCTTACAAACTTCCATTTTCCAAAAGGCATGATAAAACCGAAAGAATCAATGCTGATAAAGGTCTTTTCTTCTGACTCAATATAGATTCTTGTGTGTTACTCCTGGCAGTGTGACCAAATCGTTTCATGCCTGCCAGTGTTACGAGACTCAAAATGGAGGATGAACATAATGGTGGTTCATAAATTCAGATTATAATTTCTTGGCAATGGCTCAAAAATGCACTTTATATATATTGCCTAACAGACTAAATGTTTGTTTGTACTGAATGAAAGTTTCAGTTTTCTAAATTTAATCTTTTAATTTTAAAAAGAAAATGGTCTTATAAAAGTCACAACTGCCGAACTATTTCAAATATATATATATATATATTGTGACATGCTGAGCTATGGATGACGCCCCTCCCCCAACCCCCGCCAGCCGTGATGCGCCGAGCGAAGCCGAAGCGAGCCGATGTTAGCCGAGTCCTATGATCCTGTGACATGTTGCGCAACGGAGGACACCCACCTCCCCAGCGGTACGTGGCGGTAACGAAGCGCTCGCGTTACTATGGTAATAGGCGAGTCCCTGCCCTGCCACTCTCCCCACGGTGATGTAACGCGCAAGGCGCGGTGACGCGGAACCGCTTCCTACTGTGACGTGGCACGTAACAGGCACACAGCCCCTATATAAGGGAACTGCACAGCAGCTACGAGGAGTTGTAACGTGGCCATCGCCGAAGACAGTTCCGAGTTAGTTCCGAGCAAGCCTACGAGCGAATGTGATATCAACAGTTCTCAAGGCAGCAGCCTGCGAGTCGAGTTGGACNCGGAGGACACCCACCTCCCCAGCGGTACGTGGCGGTAACGAAGCGCTCGCGTTACTATGGTAATAGGCGAGTCCCTGCCCTGCCACTCTCCCCACGGTGATGTAACGCGCAAGGCGCGGTGACGCGGAACCGCTTCCTACTGTGACGTGGCACGTAACAGGCACACAGCCCCTATATAAGGGAACTGCACAGCAGCTACGAGGAGTTGTAACGTGGCCATCGCCGAAGACAGTTCCGAGTTAGTTCCGAGCAAGCCTACGAGCGAATGTGATATCAACAGTTCTCAAGGCAGCAGCCTGCGAGTCGAGTTGGACTATGGCAGCCGTCGCGGAAAGAAGAACCGGACGTGTGTGTAATTGTGTAATCGGGAGTGTGTGATACAGTGATACAAAGCTCCCCTACGGTAAACGTGTAGACTACTGAAGACAGAGTGAACTGATTTGCACATAGGGTTATAAATCGTGAAACCCCGCAACAGTGTTAACAGATTAATGCGATTAGGGTCATAAATCATGAAAGCCCGCAACTGTGTAATAATTAATTGTAGCCGTTACTTGTAGGTTGTTGAATAAACCAATTAACAATCCGAACGGCGTCTTCAGTAACAAAACACGTTAAAATATATATATGCCAGTAAAGTTATGAAGAAAAATTGGTACTGGGCACAAAAATTTATATTCATGAATTTTTAAATGAGGGAGATATATATTTTTTTAATTGGTTTACTATGTGCTAAAAGTTCCTAATTTCATTAATTAATATGAAGGGATTTGTTGACAATAACAAATTGAAATTTTGGAAAAATTTTAATTCAGGGATATTTATTTTTAAAATAAAAGTCATAAAATTTGGTGATGACATGGCTGATGGCATTGTTTAATCTGACATAAAATGACTCAGCTGTGTTTGCCTGCAGGTGGTACTGCCTGTAGACCAGGCAAGCAACAGTGATGTCAACAATGCAAGCAGTTCCCACAGTGATATATCTCTATCTGGAGACATACAGGATTTCACCAGAAGCAGAGAAGTTGCAGAGGTTGAACCTTTGCAGTCTAACGATGGGAATGATTCAGATGGCTGTGTTGTTGTGGGTTATGTGAAGCCTCGTCATGAGAGGACACCTGAGATCATCACTCTGCTGTCATCTGAACCAGAAGCAGAAGAGGATGATGTGATTGTAAGTAGACCACTTTCAGAGTTGTCATCCTATGGTGTGTTAGCCCAAAGCTGCATGGCTACAGCCTGGTCATATTTGTCTACAGTGTATTGCCAAGTATCTGTTCACAAAAGCAAATTGCACGGTTGAAGCATGTTACAAGTATTTACTACCCTTGGTTGCCCACTTAGGGCTGTGCCATAGCTCAAGTGGTTAGTTGCTGGCTTCCCACTGCAGTGGCCCGGGTTCGATCCCTGGTCTGGTCAAGTGGGATTTGTGGTGGACAAAGTGGCACTGGGGCAGGTTTTCTCTGAGTACTTAGGTTTCACGTGCCAATCTTCATTCCACCTTGCTCCACAATCACCCTCACCTATCATATGGGGCTGGTACAATAGGCCAGATGTGGCAGCAGTACAAGGGACTTAGTCCCACCCTACTAACAATAAAAAAATATTTCCCCACTTGAAAACAGTTAAAGAGAAGCAGATAGGTTTGGTTGTCAGGTACATGGTGGTACTGCTTCAGTCAGTGTTGGTTTTAACTGTTCCGCTGCAACTAAATCAATGGAACAGGTTCTTCTAACTGTAGTCGTTGATTGCCATTCTTCACTTGACAGACCCTGATGTGTCCCTCTTCCTACAGTCAGTAACATTTGGTTTTGTCTTTTGGTTCAGGAGATGTCCCAGATGGCATGCACAGGGTGCTATGACCGCAGTTATGGTTACGAACTTTCTTCGACTAGCTCCCCAGAGTCATCGGGATCAGAATACGATCCATACCCTGTTCGTAAATCACAGAAGAAAAAGCGAAAGAAGAAAAAGAAGAAGAAAATTCAGAGGAAGGGGAAGTTAGGCAGTGCAGCAAAGTCTAAGGCTAGAACCAGTGAGTTTTGTAGTTATGATATATTTGTCACTATAATTTATTGCTTGTATTGCAATAGAAGCTGGTCTGTGAACTGACTTTTTGCCTTATGTTTGTTGAAGGTCGTAAAGATGATAAAATTGCAGCAACTTCTACAAAGAAGAAAGGTCATAGTAAAGCAGAATACTCCAATAGCGATTCTGATTCATCAGCATGCACGTGTACTGGTAAGAAGTCTGTACGGCGGAGGAGAGCGCGGTCATTTTCCTCCTGTAGCAGCTCCAGCAGTGTCAGCAGATACAGTCGCAGTTCCAGCAATGCCAGCAGAATCAGTCACAGTTCCATCTCCAGCAGTAACAGCAACCCCACTTACAGGTCTCAGAAATCACGTAGCAGCTGCACGAGACACAGAATCAAACATTCGCCATGCAGGAACAAAAAGGAGTCATGGCGCATACAAATCAACATGCCAGACATGAGGCAGGAGCATGACTACTCGGACACTGGCTGTGAGTCTCGTTCCACATCTGATATAAACGGCAGCCTTCAGAGGGGAAGTTCTAATGGGCGACCTAAGTTGCGCAGTATTGTGATCACACGGGCTGCAAATTGTAATAGCAAGTACCAAGCATCTGAGAGTAGCAGCCATGACAAGCTACAAAAAAGTTCAACCCTGAAAAGCAAATCACATCGACAAGAAGAAGCACAGAAGAAAGTGAAAAATGAACCCAGTATAGCACCTTCTACATTGAGCATCAGTCGCCCACACCACAGCGGTGATTCACATTCCTCTCATTCTTCTCACAGGTTTGAAGGAAGCAACAGATCCTTGAGTAAATCAAATGGAAGCACTAGACAGAAGCACAGCAAGGAAAATGGGAGGAGGAAGGAAAAGGTGGCGGACAAGAAGCAGAGGGGCTCAGGGTCTTCTTTAGAAAGAGAGGCACATGAGACAAAACCAAAGAAACGAAAAAGAATCTTGCCTTCATTTTCTGAATCATCAAATGACTGAGATTGATACACTGATAACTGTAGTTTGAATAAGTTGATCATTCCCAATTTTAAATGAAAGGGTGGACTCAGTTCCAGTGTGAATATTTTGTATAAAGGTGCACAGTTTCATGTTTCGATACTTGTGGTGTTAACAATAATTGTGCTGTTTACACAGCCTGCATCTGAGACAAGGAGAACTCATGTGCGGTGTTCATTGAGGCATTTACTCTGCCATGTGCAATTGCAACCGATACCTGGCTGCATGGAAACAGATGCAGCTGGATTTAATTCTGTGTAAATTATGTACTTCATAGTTTGATTATCTGATCCCTGGAGGACATTTAATTCTTGATTGGAACTTTGTTGAAGGATATTCTGCCAGGAGATTTTAATTTCAGTAAAATTAATAAAGTATTCACTTCACATGGTATTTTTTTATATACATTACAGATTTTACCTCAGTTTGGGCTTCTTATGATATATTCATCCCATGGCGAAGCTTTCAGAATAGTGTCTTTCCTCTTTTTTTTTTACACTTGTAACACATGGCATACCATTTTCTTGGCATTGTGTTTATGTAATCGTCTTTGAGAAATATCATTCAGTTAGTTGTATTATCTGTGATTTACTACTATTGTATATACACCACTGCATGATTTATGCATCCCTGCTTTTAAACAAGTTTTGGAAAAAATTAAATACTGTACAGTGCAGAATGTACCTCCAGGGAATGCAGTAGCGTAGTTGGTTGAGGGGCTATGCTACAAGCCGGAAGGTTGCGGGTTCAAGTCTCGATGAGGTAATTGGATTTTTTTCAATTGACCTAATCTTACCAGCTGCACTAGGCCCTGGGGTTTACTCAGCCTCTTAACAGAAATGAGTACCTGGAATTAATTAAATAATTTTCCTGAGGAGTAAAGTGCAGCTGTCGTGTAAGGCTGACAACCTTACCACCATCTTTGAGCTGATTGTCTAGATAGTGTGGGAGCCTAGACGTCTCACAACCCTATGGGCCCTAATGGCCTGTTACGGGGATAGCTTTACTTTTTACAGTATCCCTCCAATTAAATCTATAATCATGTAATATGTGTCTTCATTTACTACTAGCCCTCCAACTTGTATTATCACGTGTACCTGGGGTAACGTGACTAATAATTGTGGGTTGTTAATTTGATGACTGGATTTATTTGACTTCACTATTACAATTACACTCTGTTATAACAGTTCACACATTTAACTCCTGGATAATGAATCCCTCACTGTTGTCTGGATCTTGCATATTTGGTCTTGTCATATTCTGCTTTACTCTGTATAACTCTGCTTAGTTCTTGAAAGCATGCTGATTCACTGCTGACTCACTTCTTCTTCTGTCTTCTGTCATATTTTGGTCCTACTTCCATGGCTTGTTCCTTGTTATAACTGTTCGGCAGCCATGATAGCCAGACACCGCCCTGAAGGGTGTCACTTTCCATATTTCTCTTTTAAGAAGTCATTCATATGCAACCTACATTTCATTGTTGTGGTTATCTGCTTTCAACAGTGAAACAGTAAACAATAGTAACTAGAATCGCTGGTTGCAATGGATGCATGGCTCCAACTCTGATACTCTTAACTTTTAGGCTGCGCTACACAATATTATCAGTTTGAACAGATGTGTCGGGGCTACCAGAGTAAATGCATTGAGCTTGATTACCCCACAAAATATGAGTATGGGAATTTACTGATGTCTGTGGGTAAGCAGCCAGTGCAGGAGAGGAGAAGGGAGAGGCTAAGAGGTCCTCAGAACTCTCAATTAATGTTATCCGTACAGTTTTTGGTGTTGGCCAGTGTACTGTGGAAGTTATACAGGACTGCTGAATTACACACTTGAGTTCTCAGTCACCTTTAGAGTTCACTTGTGGTGGCAACTTAAGTACTTCATCCTAAGCATAAAAATATAAAATAATTTTGAATTAAATGCATACAGTTGTTTTATGATTAGTCCTATGGAATCTCTTGTGAAGATTAGCACTACAGAAATTTGTACTTGCAGACTACACTATGTGATTCCTTGACCAGCAGTGAGACAAAAATGCCCCCTGATAAAAATTTGACTGATGTAGAGAAATATGCTATGGGGGACTTGAATCACAGTTTCTATGTAAATTATGAGTATGGTTGATATACCAAGGGTTATTTTTGAGTCAGTGTTCAACAGTGTATCGGACAGTGGAGTCCATGTGCTCAAATTACTGGACACTATGTGATAGCCAAATTTTTATATAAACATGAACCCATTGTTTTCCTTCACATAGACCACTAAATTTTTATGTGCATCCCACAGTTCTTCAGTAACACTGCTGCTGGCCACTGACCAGATATTTCATTCTCATTTCTTCACTGTGTCTTCCTTAATATTGCCCTTGCTTGCACACCCTGCCGACCAAAGTCATGACTTGTGGGCAGCATTATCATTTTTTTGTGTGTGATTTTTCTTTTCCACTGCCTTCTATGAAGCTAGACTGACCCTGACTCAGTAAACATGGGTAGCATTACTAGGAACTTGAAAGCAGATTGAGGAAAGGAAGTTGTTATAAAAATCATATGTTATTATCAGTGGGGCTCCCAGTGTTGGGCACTATACTAGATTCAGCAAAATCGAGTTTGTGTGGTTCCTTCTGGGTTTGGAGTGTATTTTATAATGCTGTCAGAATATAGCCTATATGACATTGGTATCATTCCTATTGTCTAGTGTAAAATTATCAATAATTAGCAGCAGTCTGAAAGTAACATGGGGAAACATGTTACACACTTGGGTACAGAATGGTTATGGTACTAAAAAGAAGGGAATATTCACTTTCACTCTTATGCAGTTGTAATTTTGTTAATTTATGTCTCTCAAAAAAATAATTACACCCTTGAGAGTAATTTGCATGCACACCTACTTTGGCTGGATTGTGGGGGGTAAAAAGGTGTAAATACATGCACGCAGTACAGTTTTATCTTCCTTCTTTCCAGGAAGTATGAATGAATGTTTATGGTTACTGCTGTTCTGTTACATGTAATGACACATAATCTGGGCATTGTTCTGGAGGAGACTGCTGCTGCCATCTTCAGTGTATGGAGTTTATTTCTTGTACCTGAAGCTGGAAGCAGCAGGTTCCTTCAAAATTTTGATACCTGTCTTAACAGATTACATATTTGTCATACCTAAAATGACCTAAATCATGAACTTTACCACAGTGAGAATCTTAAGAGGCTGGATCATTCACATCAACTTATGTCATATTTTGGTTATACAAGGAATATCCGGAAAGTAAAGATACAAGTCCAGTGAACATGCAAGGGACATATTTTTTCAGAAATGGCAGTGCTGCCGTGTGAGATAGAAACCATCTGATGGTAGAGTTCACCAGCCACGGTCACGGCAATGTTGTGCTGGTGGTGTGTATTTAAAATGGCCAGGTCGTTTCAGAATTTAGCCAAATGTGAGGTTTGTGCAGTAATTCGATTTCTTCACGCAAATGGAGAAACTGCTGCTGAAATTCATCACTAAGTTGTTTCTGTTTACGACGAAGCTGTTATGAACAGGCAAAGCATGGCAAAATGGTGTCAATCTGAAATGGGAAGAAGTGATGTTCATGATGAAATAAGGCATGGAAGGCCATCTGTTGTTACTGATAAAATCATCCAAAAAAATGATAAAAACATTTGTACCAAGAGACATTTAACCATTGTTGAACTTCATCAACAATGTCCAGAAGTGTTGAGAACTGTCCTCCATGGCTAGGAACGCAAGGGGGAGATTTGTACAACGCTAGAATAGAAAAACTCATTCCCAGGCTCACTAAGTGCATTACAATCCATGGCAACTGTTGAAAATTAAATAAAGGTGTGTTTTAAAAGTGCTTCTAGTGAATCCCCCCCAAAAAATATATTCTTTACAACTATTTCCGGACTTTGTACCTATACTTTCTGGATATCTTTCTTGCTTTGAAACTGGTGGGGTCATTTAGCATGCACGAGGGAGAGGAGAAATGCATACAGAATTGTGATAGATCTTTGAAGCAAATATACCACTTAGGAGATTTGGGTATAATGGGGTGGACCTCTTCGTAAGGCTCAACAGCTTCATTTCTTGAATGCTTCGGCCTGCTCAACAATTTCCTTCCAGCTACTTCTGTCCTGTGTGTGAGTTGTCCAATTATAAAGTCCTAAATCCTTTAGATCTTCCCTTATGTTATCTTTCCATCTGATCTTAGGTCGGCCTCTCTTTCTTATAGTGTGTGGCTGCCAGTCATATATTTTTTTAACTGTTCATCCAGCCTCCATCCTTGAGATGTGTCCAAGCCAACTTATTCTTTGGGCTTTGATGAAGTTAACTATGTTCCTTCCTTTTATTAGATTATCTAGTTTGTCATTTGTTTTAATTCTCCAGGAGCCATCATGTTTCCTTGATGGCCTGAAGATCTTTCTTAGAATTTTCCTTTCAAAGACTAAAAGTCTATGTTTAATGGCTTCTTTAAGTGTCCAAGTGTCACAGGTGTAGGTTACTGTTGGTTGAATTACCATCTGGTATAATCTTAATTTAGCTGTTTTAGAAATAAGTTTATTTTTAAACAGTGTTAAATGTGCAGCATATGCTTTATTTCCAGTTACTAACCTCTCTTTAATCTCTTGTTCAATTGTGTTATCTGAATTAACTATAGATCCTAAATATTTATAATGAGAGACATGTTCTATGTTTATGTCACTGCATCTGAGATCTTGGATTATTTGAGGTTTGTTAGAACAGTGTAGGAATTTAGTTTTTTGTTCCTTGACTAACAGCCCATACTTTTGCGAGGCTTTTTTTTAAGCTCTTCAAATGTGTTTATCAATATTTGTTTGATTCTTGCAATAATGAATATGTCATCAACATATGCGCAACACTGTTTTAACCTTGTGGAAATATTACCTCTAACCTCTAGACTCTTTTCTGATCAACTGATATGAAAAGTGATGCAGGTAGTGGGTCGCCCTGTTTCACTCCACAGCATATTTGGAATCATTCGTTAAACTCCCCATTTATTTTAACCTTTGCTTTCGTGTTTTGGAGAGATACTGCTGTTAGTCTGATTAGTTTAGATGGAACATTGTAGTTTTTGAGGCAGTATATTATTTGACACCTCTTAACAGAATCAAATGCTTGTGTATAGTCTACAGATATGTTATAAATATCAATATTAAACTCGCAGCATTTTTCATAGATGAGGACTGTTAACGTGGATTTTAAAAGTGGGATGTAAAGAGGCAGATGAGACAACTGGCTCGGGATAGGGTTGTGTTGTGGGCCCATGTTAATATGACAATATATCTTTGGGTTCCATGAAAGGAAATTTCTTGACCAGCTGACTTGACTATTGGCTTTTTAAGAGGGACTTTGTTTCATTGTTTCATCACCATGACACATTGGGATCCTGGTGACTTAACATTTATATCACTGAGGACAGGTTACTGATAATCTTTCCTATTTAAGTGCTAGGTGTCAAAACAGTTTTCATATACTTTTATTCCACCATTGTTGATGGACTCTATTTGAGGTTCTCACAACTGAATTTTCAAATTGCAGTCTTCCAGGTTTTGAAATTGTGTAGATTTGTAGGTGGATGCCAAGGCTTTGGAGGAGCTTGGTGCTTCTATCTGGGTGGAAGCAATTTTGAAGAATCACATGTTTCATACAGAATTTTCAGCTTGCAGTTTTTTTTATCCGTTATGACTCCAGATTTCAGACGTCCTGCTGTATTTTCTCCTTGGACTCTTTACAGCATAGTGGTTATGTGTATCACATATTATTACACCAAAAAGCCACATACTTTGCCCACAGTGCATTTATGATTCTCAAAATAATGAGTGATTATTTCCTTATATTTATTTGTTTTGTAATGGTGATGCTTTGAATGGAATTCTTAAATATCATTTATCTGAAATTCAGCCTGAAGGTGGTTAACTGTAGGGATGGTGTACATCTTACTTGGCTTCTGTAAGGTTTATAATACCAAAGGTAGTTGGACCCACATTCACAGAAGATATACATCTTCTGATTCAGTTGTACGATTGTGCTGTGGATTCACATTTTTGTGGTGTATTTTTTAAAATTTTGAATTCTATTAATATGGGGTGAATGTCAAATTATCGATGTTTCAGAACATTTTATAATTCTTGAAACTGCCAAAAATATTACAAGTTTTGGAATTTTTCTAGCATAGTTTCTTGTTAGAAAATTTTGAACCCTAATGTTTGTAAGCCGGTCACGATAGCCAAGGGTTTAGGGCATGTACTGTCTTTGCTAGCTCAGAAGCTGGGATTGTGGATTCGAATCCTACACAAGGCATGGATGTTTGGTGTGTGTGCGTTTTTTCTGTGTTTATGTTGTCATGTGTTTAGGTAGAGGCCTTGTGATGAGCTGATCACCCATCCAAGCAGTCCTACCATCTGTAAAAATGATCATGAAACTGAGAAATCCGCCCTATGCTCTAAAGTGGGAACAAGAGGGGATATAAAAGTGTTTGTAAAAGAAATGATTGCCTCTGTGGTCTAGTGGTCAGAATTCCTGGCGTGACAGATTTTCTAAGAAGTAGTGGGTCTGAAACGGAGTCCACTGAGCCTCCTGAGGATAATTGAGGAGCTACTTGAATGAAAAAGTAGCAGCTCCGGTCTAGAAAACCGAGATTTACGGCTGTTGGAATCCGTTGCGCTGACCATGTGGCACCCTCTATCACCAAAAGTTGGCACTAACTTCGCCGACAAGCGGAAGTCGCTTGGTCGGTATAGCTCGTTTGCTGACTAAAGGCCACGGAATTTGTTTTGTTTTTGTAAAAGAAATATGTGAGATATTGTCACTTTGGTTTGTTTATAATTTTCGAAGTTTTTAAATGTGGCAGTTCTCGGATAATTGAAAGTTCTTAGTGTTCCCAAAAATTTCCAAATTGCAGAAAGTAAAAGGTCAATTTTTTAATTTAAAAATGAATTTTTGCTCTGCAAATTGCAAATGGCTTAAAGTTCCAACCGATATCCTAGCAATTTTTCGATGCTTTGAAAATTCTTAATAGTATTTTTGATATTTCGGAACTTCAAAATTTTCATGATTTTTAATATTTATAAATTTGAATATTTTCACAATTCCGAGTTACTGTATATTGTTAAAACAAATTAGGTAGTTTCTAGTGTGATACTGTCGGAAATTTCGCCGTCGTCCTTTACATTTCGAAAATTTTTATTACATTTCAGAATTGTTAAATATTTTTTTAATATTCAAGTTCTAAATTCGTTTTTAATTTTGTATTAGATTACTTGGGTTACATTAACACGTCAGAACGCTGCCCAGCTACATACTAGTCCACCCGTTTGTTGCGGCAGAGCTTGGTCAGGTTCGGTTAGGTTAAGTAGGGGTATTTTTGAGTGCAATCTGTTGTTTATTATATAAAAATCCTTATTAGGTGTAGGTAATGATGAGTATTCGAGTAAATGTTGTCGAGATTAGACCTCATTAGCGCACCAGCTATCTGCACATGATTATGCATCTACCCATGCATTTGCGCAGACGTTGAGCAGAGTTAAGCGACTAGGCTTTTAGGTTAAGTGGACCCATCAAACCACTGTGAGTTATTCTAGGTTTGGATGTAACGTCGAGGCTAATGTTTTGAAACGGGGCCTCCTCTTCGATGAAAAGGAGGGACAGATTGCTACTCAAGGACTGCATTATTCTTGTGTAATGCAACATAGCACAGGATTGCGAAAAGTTCCTACTCTTGACACTTATTCTCGCTGGTTATGTGAATACCTTTGCTAAATTGTTATGTATTTCCTGAACCGTGATTTTATAACCCAATGTCACTACAGTCACTGCTCCCTGCCTTGTACCTATTTAGTAATCCATGATTTATACTGCCTCAATCTCGCGCCAAAATTAGAACATCACAGTTTGGCTGACTCAGCTAGGGATGTTTGAAGAAATGTACGGTTATAAATCGAAATACCTTAAAGAGGTAAAGTAAATGTTAGAGATATTTTATCATATGTGTAATTGAGTCAATAATAATCTCTTATAACGTAGAAAGTACATATTTTAGGCCCGGAATATTTTAAATTTTAAAATTGAAACATTTGTAACGCAGGCATTCATGTCCATTTTGTGTTAACGTGATACATGGTGAGTTGGAATAGAGTTCGTATCTTTATGCGATTTATGAGACTCCGCCGCAGAACGTTCCGCACGCTACTATGTACTTGACTGGATTATACACAACAGCACACAGACACGGCCAACTACGCAAGATATTCTAAGTAACCAACAGATAAACAGGGTCTTCAGTATGTTCATGTACTTATAACAAGATACTGAATTGGTTTTAACTGACTGACAGATAATTTTTAGCAACACAGCATATTTTAATTACGTTAATATTTTTGCCTATTCTCGATTTCTAATGGCAGAAATCCCCGTATTAAATTGTGTGTTTAACATTTATTATTATTATTATTATTATTTCTTCCTTATTCCATTACATCTATAATAGGCAGAAGCCTTAGATACAGAATTGTGTTAATTTATCTTGCTAATACTCTTAAGCAATTGTCAAGAAGACTTATAAAATAAGACAATGTATGTTTACATTATAAAGTATTTTTTTGTACTGTTGGCTGTGTCTTCTGATGATGGCCACTAGTGGCTGGAATGTATAAAGGTATTCTTTTATATTTTCATATGAAATGTATTGCACTTGCTGAACTTACTTGTCGTTTATGGTTTGTTTCAGCTACTCTCGCAATGGAGAAGTATAATTTGTTGAGAATTAATCAGTGTGTGTCCCCAGGAAGAAAAGTATTAGGTGAAATTAATCATGTGGGGAAATGTGAAGGTGGAGGAAATCCATTATCACCTACAGCAAATTTAAAATTACTGACAAAAGTTGCCAGCAGCTTTGAAAAAGAGGGCACCACAGCTTCTTGTATCAGTAGTGATGTTCACAAAGTGAAGAAGCATTTACAACCATACTGTGTCCAGCAACAACCCGATGAAAATTTCAAATCAAGGAAAGATAAATCTCTGAGTTTGTTATGCAACAAGTAGTGTATATGCATCTTGTATATTTAGCTAATAGCACTTTAACTTCACCCTTCTAGTCTCTTATAATGTTACACAGGAACTGAGACATCAGAGAGAGAACTTCTTTACGCAGTGTTGTGGGCAGTTACATGGAATGTATATACTGGTTACTGATTTAAGACCAAGTTTTTAATTAAAGTGCACAGTTTGATTGGGATCTGCTACCATGTCATGTTGCAGAGTAGTTTTTTATCCCACAGTGCTACTTCCTTAGTAGGAGGTCTCATTTTTTGTGGTTAGGTGAAGTCAGTCGGGAGAACTTATGGGTATCCAAACCATGTTCTTCATTTCACTATATGTTGCATGAAGTATTTTGTCAGTGGTTCAAGTTATTGGTGTGGTGTAATGCATGACTGAGCTTGATGGATGTGACATATCTTGGATCTGTAGTGCAGATACTGGGATGTACAAGCCAGTCCACTGATGAATACAGATTGTGACTGGATTTCGTCATATTTGCATGCAGTGGTCAGATGTTATTATTAAGCATGTAAGACTCCTACTGTATGCTTGAGATATGTCAGGTTGAAATCTTATCTTGACCGAGGTGTTTTATGGTTATCCTCAGTCTCTTCATGCAAGTGATGTCTGCAGAGAGCAACCAAGAACTTGTAGCTGATGTGTAGAAACATTTGGGTATTTGAAAATTGAACTCTTCTGTAAAGTACTGCCATAGAGGTGTCAGGTCAGTAGTTGTCTAGCCTGTGAACTAGCCAGTCCATTCTGGTTACATAATGCTGCCCAAAACATTTTTTTTTCTCCTTGTCACTACAGCCCCAGTGGGCCTAGGCCTACCTCCATGGACTTCTCCGTTCACTTTGATTTTTCTTGATCTTACACATTTGGTAGGACTCCTTGGGCGGGTGATCAGCTCATCGCAAGGCCTCTACCTGTACACAAACACAGAAAAACGCACACAAACATCCATGCCCTGAGTGGGATTCAAATCCACGATCCCAGTTTCCGAGCGAGCAAAGACAGTACATGCCTTAGACCACTCGGCTACCGTGGCCGGCCCAAAAACATTTATCCACGTTATAATTCTATCAGTTATAGTGTGCTGTTTAAATTATTTTTGTACCAGTTTGTATAGCGATAGGCTGGACAGCCCAGGTTCAAATCTTGGAAGGGCAAGATTTTTCTCTTCTTCACAGCATTCAGACTGGCTCTGGGTCCCACCCAACCTCCTATCCATTTGGTACCTGGTGCAATTTCCCCAGATTTAAAGCAGCCGGGTTGTGAAGCTGACCACTCACCTCCATCTAGTGTCGAGGTTGAGAATGGTGGAACTATAACTCCACTTCCTGATATCTTCATGGCATAGTGCTAAATTAATTAAGCATATGGACAACTTCGCTTTACCCCACTTGGTCCTGTTGTTAGTCCAGTCTCCACCTTTCTCAGGCAAATTCTGGTACGTGCAACTCACCAAATTAAGGGTCATTATTGAGCTAAGAGACTAGCAGTCAAACACAACTGAACACAGCCCATAGGACCTTCATCCCAATGTCCCTATATGCCTTGCAACAGAACTGTAATGTGATGCTGCTGCTTTCAGATTCTTACAACTGTTTCCCCTGAACCTTTCTCCAGGAGAACATATGATAATCTCACTGGACCAGGCTGTTAGCAAGCTGGGAACAGAGCGCAGGAGGATCTATGATATTGTAAATGTTTTGGAAAGTCTGCAGATGGCAACAAAGGTAACAAGGCAATTTTACAGAATTTGGTGAACTTGAATATGGAATGTGACACCATACAGTCTGGTAGGAGGTTGCCAGCATGTTGTAGGAGTATACTGCCTTCATCTTCAGTGTTTGATCTTGTTCCTTGGAAACACTGGAAACCTTCCGCCAAACTTCATAGCATCACATCCCTGAATACCACGCTCTTAATTTGCAGATTTCAGTTCAGCAATATCTGTAAGACACCTGGCAGAAACTGTATGATGCATGGACTATAATCTCTGTGTATTCTACTTGGAAATATTTAATATGGTATTTGAAAGTGGTTTTTCTCAGTCCCTCCAGGTAATACCAGTTCCTCTTATTTTATCAATTGCTCACATTTCTCTTACTTGACATTACATTATTTCAGCAGTTGGTACAGGTACATAAAATAAACAACTAACTGTTCTGCAGGATCTCTGTTTAAAACTCTGTTAGTCAATCAAGAAATTTCATACTTCTGTGGAATTTGAAGGTTCATTGCTGTGTTCACAAAAGCCTGCCATTGGTTCCCATCCTTAGCGACAACCTCATATCATATTTCTCTAAGATCCACCTAAATATTTTGTCTTCCCCTGTACTCCTAGGTCTCCCCAGTGTTCTCTTCCTGTGAGGTTTGCAAACCAGTATGCTAGTTATTTCCCTCTCCCCTGCATTTGTTTCATGTTCCCTTAATCTCATCTGTTTTTAGCTTAAAATGACAAATGTCTGAAGGAAACTTACTGGACATTAGAACATTGACACCATCACTGAATGTCATAACCCACTATTACAACTTTCACCACTACAAAACTTGAGATCTCGTACTGTGTATGCATATGCTTGTACTTTATAGAATTTAAGAACGACCAAATGCCTTCTCCAGTTAAACAGTTAATCATGAGTTAGGACTGACTGCAGAGCCGATTGTTACATTTTAGAAAGTCTGTTTTGTATGTGGTGGCCATTATTTCAGAGATATTAGGACATGGGAAGAAAATGTACATGATCTATAATAATTCTGTCACTAGTGACTGCATCTCATACCATCAGTTAAAACGTCTCAAAATTGGTAAATGATATTTCTAAAATAAAATTTGTTGCTCATTCAGAATATGAAATTTTATCGCAACCTGTTTGTTTATGACAGATGATTATGTGGGTAGGAAACAAAACAGACAGGCATGGCAAAGCTAAAGGTTATTATTCCCAGAAATTGATGATAATTACAGGTTGCAAAGAACCGCTACATGTGGCATGGGTGTCAGCAGTTGCATGTCACGTTGGCACTGTTGAAGGGGCTGGCAATGCGGCTCGGACTGCAGGAACAGGTATGTGCCATTCTCTTGCCTACAGGCTCATAGGACACTGAATTATAATTCTGAGAGACTAACCCTTTGAAGCCTGAAGTTCATCCAAATACAGTGGAACTTCCATTTAAATTTTGCTTTGGGGACAGATTTCTTTTAGCCTTAAAGAAATTTCTTAAATGGGGAATATATTGTCACGGATTGGCCGTATATACCGCAACAAATAACTTCACGCCTTAGTTGATATAGCGAATTTTATTCCACATTTGCTCTTACAATCACACAATTTACAATCTGACAATTATTGCCATCGGCAGTATCACAAATACTGTACTACAATTAACTAGTGACTGACTCGTAACTAGAGAACTCGAGAACTGTCTCGTGGGCGTGCTCGGAACTAACTGTGAATAGTCTTCACTGCTCCATATCTAGCCTCATTCCGGACAACACAGAAAACAGCCATGTAATAGGCACCACTGTTGTCTGGCGCCGTGTTGCTAGCAACACTGTCGGGAGTTGTTTCCTGCTGCCTAGCAACCGCGGTATCCCTTGGCGATGTCACCGCTGGCGGGGTAGGCGAAGGAGTGTTGACTCCCCTGTTACCTTAGTAACGACAGCGATCCGATAGCGTTACGTCACCGCTGGCGGGGGGAGGGTTGTCCTGCATAGTGCAACATGTCACAATATGAAATTTTAACAGAAAAATTATATTGTAGTGTTATATCAAATATCTCCTGTAATGGAATGAAGAAATATAGAAACCATTCCAGTAGAATCTTTTCCAGTTCAAGTAAGCTGCTAGCTTCATAATGGTCCTTGGCCGGTGCCCACATTTAAATTCTGCATCTCTGCTTTTCTCTTAATGTAGATGAAGGGAGTCCAAGGTTATTTGCCATTTCAATGCATGGAACATTTAGATGGACTTGTACTTGCTGATCAGATTCAGTTGGTCACTTATCATCAGCTTCGTCCTCTCATTTGCCACCACCAAGTCAGTTTTTATAGTCTTCGTTCAGTGCAAAGAAATTATGCACATGCATAAGTAAGTATGATAGCTGTATTCTTTATGAAGTTAAATGTGATTGAATATACTGATTTTAAACATTTCACACATACATGTTAATACAGCCTCCAAAAGGATAAAGTAGATGTGGTATGCTGCTACCTGGTAGTTGCTCAAGGTCAGTGAATGCCAATGTATGCTGTTCACTAGCTGACCAGCCAAAATCATGGAAGCTGGCCTTGAGCATAAATTGTGGCCCTCAGGCTTAGTATAAATATTTAGGGTACAGACTTCATGGAAGGACTGAATTTTCATCCTTCCAAATCAGGAAACAATAAAATGGGGTTATCTTCACAATGTGCTTCCTGTTGCATGTCAAAAACAACAAAGTGATTGATTATAAATTACTTTTTTGTGGTGACGGCTAACCTAACTATATACATTTAAAAATGGGGTCATTTATGCATTGCTTATATGAGGCTTTTCTGGGACTCCTAACACTGAACACTAAATGTGGTAGAACCTTGACTTGAGAAGCCCTAAGTTGGGATTCCACTGTTCCTCTATGATTAAGAGAGTAGAGAGTTCGTTTCTTATATGAGTATATACATATTGGGTAGACTGTACTCGTAAAATTTGTAGATGTTCTGTATCTACTGATGTTGCCTTTTCTATTTAGATTTCATGAAGAACATCACTAATATTATGTTATTGATTCGTTGTTAGGCCATGCCATAACTCAGGCAGTTAGTCACTGGCTTCCCACCACAGCAGTCTGGTTTCCATCCCAGGTCAGGTCATGTTGGATTTGCAATGGACAAAGTGACACTGGGACAGGTTTTCTCCAAATACTTTGGTTTCTCTGCCAATTCTCATTCCACCAACTGCTCCACGCTCATCATCATCCATCATTCAGGGCTAGTACAGTAGGCCAAACAGTGGCCAATATACCAAGTGGACTCAGTCTATCCCCACCCAAAGAATAATAGCAGTTCTTTCATTGTGTGTCCATCCCTTGCTACGGTTCATAGTGTGCTATGCTGGTGATGTGGTTGGTGTGTGGGTTGGTACTGGCTGGCACTTCTTTCAAAGGAATTTAAATGTAAATATTACTGCTATGATTTACTATATAATAAGCAATCTCCTATGTCAACATGTAAGACTCTGATAATGGGCCAGTGGGACTGAAATATGTTAGGCATATTTTATCCAGTAAGTAAGGCTTTTAAGTACTACATGTTCTTGACAGTTCTTATTACTTCATTGTCAGTACAAAGTATAACAGCTGAAATATATCATATAACATCTTCCAAATAGTGTCTAAGAAATAAGTTTTAAGTTTCTCACAGTTTTGATTATTAAAATTATGGTCTTCTTAGATGTGACATTAGTTTTATGCAACGATGCATGCATTTGAAAGGAATGTGCTACCTCCATCTTCAAGGTTGAAATATGTAGGTTCAGGAATAGACTTGCTTGTGCAGGCATATGACAGGGAGAGTGGTCATATGACCCAAAGAGAAGGTGTAGAGATTAAAAAAATTTGGTCCTAGTAAGTCTTAAGAAATGGACAAAGACACAGCCCTTATAAAGGTGCCTCATACCAAGTGTGGCAGCCCAGCATTCAGAGTGCCTCACACCAAGTGAGGCAGCCCAGTGTTCAGAGTTCCTCACACCAAGTGAGGCAGCCCAGTGTTCAGAGTGCTTCACACCAAGTGTGGCAGCCCAGCATTCAGAGTGCCTCACACCAAGTGAGGCAGCCCAGTGTTCAGAGTTCCTCACACCAAGTGTGGCAGCCCAGCATTCAGAGTGCCTCACACCAAGTGAGGTAGCCCAGCATTCAGAGTGCCTCACACCAAGTGAGGCAGCCCAGTGTTCAGAGTTCCTCACACCAAGTGAGGCAGCCCAGTGTTCAGAGTGCCTCACACCAAGTGTGGCAGCCCAGCATTCAGAGTGCCTCACACCAAGTGAGGCAGCCCAGTGTTCAGAGTTCCTCACACCAAGTGTGGCAGCCCAGCATTCAGAGTGCCTCACACCAAGTGAGGCAGCCCAGTGTTCAGAGTGCTTCACACCAAGTGAGGCAGCCCAGTGTTCAGAGTTCCTCACACCAAGTGAGGCAGCCCAGTGTTCAGAGTGCCTCACAGCAAGTGTGGCAGCCCAGCATTCAGAGTGCCTCACACCAAGTGAGGCAGCCCAGTGTTCAGAGTTCCTCACACCAAGTGTGGCAGCCCAGCATTCAGAGTGCCTCACACCAAGTGAGGCAGCCCAGTGTTCAGAGTTCCTCACACCAAGTGTGGCAGCCCAGCATTCAGAGTGCCTCACACCAAGTGAGGCAGCCTAGCATTCAGAGTGCCTCTCACCAAGTGAGGCAGCCCAGTGTTCAGAGTTCCTCACACCAAGTGTGGCAGCCCAGCATTCACAGTGCCTCACACCAAGTGAGGCAGCCCAGTGTTCAGAGTGCTTCACACCAAGTGAGGCAGCCCAGTGTTCAGGGTTCCTCACACCAAGTGAGGCAGCCCAGTGTTCAGAGTGCCTCACAGCAAGTGTGGCAGCCCAGCATTCAGAGTGCCTCACACCAAGTGAGGCAGCCCAGTGTTCAGAGTGCCTCACGCCAAGTGAGGCAGCCAAGTGTTCAGAGTGCCTCACTAAGTGGCAGCCCAACATTCAGAGTGCCTCACACCAAGTGCGGCAGCCCAGCATTCAGAGTGCCTCACACCAAGTGAGGCAGCCCAGTGTACAGAGTGCCTCACACCAAGTGTGGCAGCCCAGTGTTCAGAGTGCCTCACGCCAAGTGTGGCAGCCAAGTGTTCAGAGTGCCTCACTAAGTGTGGCAGCCCAACATTCAGAGTGCCTCACACCAAGTGTGGCAGCCCAGCATTCAGAGTGCCTCACACCAAGTGTGGCAGCCAAGTGTTCAGAGTGCCTCATTAAGTGCGGCAGCCCAGCATTCAGAGTGCCTCACACCAAGTGAGGCAGCCCAGTGTTCGGAGTGCCTCACACCAAGTGCAACAGCCTAGTGTTCAGACTACCCCGTGAAAATGTGTTCGGTGGTTCTTGGATCAAAATATGGAGATGGCTGGACAGATGTAACCATTGGTGTAGGAGTTGTTCCCTTGCATGTTTTGCAAAGAACACATAATAACCTATAAACTCTCAAGCATTCATCCTCATAATTCATCATTCATAATCATCTTCACATCTTCCAATACAGTAGAGTTCTTGAAGTGTTTGTATTGTATCCAAGGTTCAGTCCGTGCAGCTGAAGCAGAAATCCAGTCTGGTGCACGTGGTGGCAGGCAGTTGTTATGGGGCAGTCACTGACATGGACACCCTGAAACCTGAGTCAGAAATCCACATCACGGAGCCAAGTGACATCACCTTGCAGGCACATGATATTCTGGGCCCACTAGAATGCTCACCACCACCACCTAAAGTGCAGAGTGGGCCCTCTGTGGCACAGCGGGTGAGACATCTGACGCTATTGCATTCCATTTGACTACAGCATGTGATTGGTTACATTTGTGGTTCCCAATTCTTAATCTGAGGCTACCGTCATGTACGTGAAGGAACTGGGTACTGACAGTCTAGATGACTTAAAATATGAGCTAACTTTTTAAAAACGTAATATCTAATGAACTGTGGTACTTACTCCTTTGCCATTCCTCTGTAATTTTCCTTAAATATTGAAGTTTTTACGGGGGTATTTTAGTCGGCTAGACATTCATGAAAGTTCCTACAAAGTGTCAGTGAACTTCTACTGGACTTTACAGCACGGCATCCCAAAGCCAGTAAATTTTGTGACCTGGTCCTTCTACTGTCCTGAGACTTATCAGGATTTTGTGTATATAGTTCTCACCATCTGTGATGTATTTTGCTTGTCCCTACACAAATTTGTTCTCATGCTGTATTGTAAATGTAGCTGTCTTGCCATTCAGCTTGTAAATCTTTATATCTGCCTTCCATCCATATCCTTTACTCCCTTCCCTCTAACAACACACAAGTCTGATGATTTTATTTTACTTCTTTTCCTTGTCATGGCAAAGGTGACAGGACTTTCAACAAGTGCAAATTGCATACTAACAGATTGATCATATGGGCCACTGTGAACCTGAGGGGGTCCGAGTTTATAAAATGTATCAGCAAAGCTTAGCAGAGGTCTATTCATGGCACTGAACAAAATTCCAATGCTGTAGATGCTGTGGGATGGAGCCATCCTTAGTAAGCAGAATACAGGAGGCCTCAAGCTGTCACCTTCAGATTGTCATGGGTATATGTGCTTCCCCAGGAATAGACTGGAATATCAAGATAGACAAGCAGAGTACTATAGAAATACCAAAATAAATTGCAGAAGGAAGAAATGAAGGGAACTGAGAACTGAAAGGTCCAGGATATATGGGGTCAAAACAGACAGAGGCTTGCAACTCTGTGAAAGAGAACAAGTGAGACAGTGTAAAAAGAAACTAAATGTAATAAAACTTGGATAATAAGCAGAATTACAAAAAGTTACACATGTATAAAAATAGAATAAACATATTGAATTGTCTGGAGTGAACAGAGAACTAGAGATATTCATAATAACAAGGTATCAGTAATACAAGATTATATAACTCACAGACAAGCTGGCGGATCCTAACCAGACTAGACATACAAATACAAATGTAATCCAGATATTCATAAAATAACTGGCACAGACCTATGCAGAACGTAGGCCAACCAGCCAGCTGTTGAGCTTGCAACACAATAATGTGATGTAACGACTTTGTATATGGAACATAGCTACAGAATTCTGACTCTGTAAACTGCAATATAACCAACTGCACAGCAGTTACACAAGGAATGGAGACACAAAACAGGTCTCAAGAAATTATGCAATACAGATCTTCAAGGTGTAAACAAGGGAAATAAGACAGCACACTCTAAACCACCCAATAACAGGTTCAAAACTTAGCATGACCATAAAATATAAGATAATTCTCTGCCCAAACATAGTAATGATAAAGTAATGTTGTACAGGAATTCCCCACTCTCACACACACACACGACACAAAAATAACATGATAGCAAAGGCTGTCTGCCAGGTTGTCAGCTGCCCACTGAAACATAATTTTGAAAATCCGGAATGCTACATTGAAGAGAAATGATCTACTCTTTTTGAGGTCCGAACATTGAGAAACCAAATTGATGTGCATACAGTCATAGGAAGGAGTAGGAGAAGGGGGGGGGAGAAACTAGGTAATTGTCTGAGAAGAACGCGTGATATGACACATATGAACAAAGAGAATGTCTCTGTCATGCCACAGAAAACAGGACTGCACTTTACACCTAAGCAGTCAAGATCTGAAGGCAGCACATAACACTAGTATGCCAAAGGGATCAGCTGAGTCTGCCTCAAAATAAAGNCTCACTGTGTAACCTGCGATACTGTGCGCGTGGACTGCAATACTGACACTCTAAATTACTCCTTTATGATTTATTTTAACCGTCTTCCAGTGCATACACTCATCTATCTCCTCCTCTCACTCGCACTACATGTTTCGGCACAAAAGTGCCATCTTCAGGTGCTTATTCAATTCACGCTAAACTAGTTCATTGCATGCCTTGTCTTCATATTAAAATAACTAAAATATATATTTATCATATATATTGATAAATGTTGATAAATGAGTATAACACACGCAGTCACAGGAGCAAGAAACAACACAAAACACAATAATACACGATAGTGAAAGAGTGCTCCAACAGAAGAGGATAGATGTGACTCGCGTAGTGAGATACGACGTAGGGAAGAAAAAAAATCCTGAACAATTTTAATATTTTTAACATTTATCAATATATATGATAAATATATATTTTAGTTATTTTAATATGAAGACAAGGCATGCAATGAACTAGTTTAGCGTGAATTGAATAAGCACCTGAAGATGGCACTTTTGTGCCGAAACATGTAGTGCGAGTGAGAGGAGGAGATAGATGAGTGTATGCACTGGAAGACGGTTAAAATAAATCATAAAGGAGTAATTTAGAGTGTCAGTATTGCAGTCCACGCGCACAGTATCGCAGGTTACACAGTGAGTGACATGTCCTTTCCTGTGCAGACTTTGCCCAGGATGGGTGAGAGTCCTCAGAGGGATACCACAGCTGTCGTGCATGGCTGTGTGGAGCGTTCTCTGGGTATCATGTGCCAGAAATTCATCATGCTGTTCCTCATCTCCAGCAAGGCAAGTTTGTTGAATTGCTTCATGATGCCAGTGGGTCAGATCTGATATGAGACTTCCTCTGTATTAAACCATTTCTGGTCACTTTAAAATGAATTTGTCTCTGTGAGCTGTGCAGCAAGTTTGCATCTGAAGCATCTTTGGTTCCTGCACTAACATACTGAAAGTGAATTGGTAAAATTATGAATAGAACAGATTTGTTCATTTTAAGGAACAAAAACTGAGTCACTGACTCTAACCATCTCACTGGCTAACTGTACTGAGGCCATGGAACGAAACCCATGGATTACCCCTTCCACATATTTCTCAAGCTGTTATGCTTCCCCATATTCTATCTGTTCTGTAGCAATAACCTGTGCTGGCAACATGGTTTTAGGGTGGTTAACATAGGTCAGAATGGCTGAAATGGAATACAGTGGTAAATTAAAAGGGGACAGCCTAAAATTTTGCCACACCATCCATCTGTGGGACTTCTTTCTGTGGCCTCAGTAGAAGTAACGGACCAACATACCTAGCTCACTGACTACCAGCTGTGTATACAATAACATGTTAGGAACACCTTGCAGTTTGGATATCCTGATAGTGTTTTGATTCATAGTGTAAATTGTGTAGCAAGAAACCTGATTCTGAAACTGAATTACAGCCTCTCACAGACTCTAATCCCATTCTCTGTTCAGCGTCTTCTTTCAACTACAGTCTGCCTCTCACAGACTCTAATCCCATTCTCTGTTCAGCGGCTTCTTTCATCTACTCTACACCACCGCTCCCTATCACTGACGGTAATACCCTCTTCTGCGGCTATTTTCAGCAACTGTTCACCTCTGTTCCCGATCACCCTCTCTTTCTTACAAGTCCCACAGTGGCAATAAGATAGCTGTCTATCACAAGTCCTCTTAGGTCATTGCCCAATTGAATAATTTCCACCGAGGTACGTACGGTTATAACACGTTACTACATTTCAACACATCTGATGATGGTTGAGTAATACTGCACATGTAGTGCAGAAACGAATTAAAAAAAGAGGATTTGATTTTAAATCTGCATTGTAGAAGGTAAACAAAACTGAGATTTTAATTAATATATTTATTTGTTTTGCAGTCAGAGTTGGTGAATCTTCATCTTGCAGCCGCAGTTCTGCATAGTGATTTCACTGGGGACAAGAACATATCAGAAAAAGCTGACGTACTTCCATGCTGCCAGCAGTCCAATCCTGATGGACAATCAGAACCAGTTAGGACTAAGGCTGGAAAGTTTTGGCCTAAAATAAGACGCCTGTATGACATTGCCAACATCCTCATGTCACTTGGCTTGATCTGCAAAGTGCGCAGTTCTGACAGCAACATCCGTAAGCCAGCATTCAGGTACACTGGTCCACAGATAGAGGCAGCACTTTTCTCTGACCAAGGTAAGAGTAACATCCTGCCCTCACTGTGACCATTGTGTTCTGGTGTTGAGTGCAGTGCCCACCTCTTGGGCACATCATCTTCACCCATCTGCATGCAACAACTCCCAAATAATCTGGTATTTGAGAATTTTACAAAAAAATTATCAAGCCACTTCAGTTTTTGTTTATATTGAACATGTTAAATGACCTTATATGAAGACCTACATGCTCTTCAGGACATATCACCAAATATTTATCAGAGAAAAATGTTTTGAACAAAGTTGTACATAAAAATTAAACATATTTTTATGTCCAATACATTTTTCTGTATGCATGACAGTCTACAAGAAAATTAAACAGAAGAGATGTTCAGTTATTGAGTTTTTGGACGTTATCCAATCATCATAGTTTTTTTATTACAACATTTTGTAGACTGTATTTTGTGTCTGTCTTCAGGTAAAGTTGGGACACATCGATACAGCTAGTCCCTATCTCCAGACACCAGTACCAACAGAAGATAGGATGCGTAAACCAAACACAACATAAACCATCATTGGGCGTTATGACAGACATTAAAGAAATCCACATACATGATGTTTTACATTTATGAACTTTCATATTCCGTAATCACCCATGGCCTCCTGAATACAATCACAGTATAAGAAAAAAGAAAAACAGAAACCACTCTTTATTGACTTTAGACAGTATTGAAATCAGATTTCTTTTATTAGTCTAGTGTATTTCTCTCTTACAATATCACTTTGATAAATCTTTTAAAGAGTTTATGCATATTGTAAAGATCACCAATGTCTTGCTGGACTGTGGCTCTGATAGCTGAGTGGGCAGGTCACTGGTGAGGATAACCTTTCTCTTAAAATTTTGTCTAAGGTGGTAGCACAAATATCATTGACTTAAAATTTGGGTTTCAGAAATAGGAATAGAATAAATGTTAGGTACTACATGTTCCATTTGAGTGCAACAGTTTGACCTTATAGGTAACATAAGAAAGGGGCCCTAATTTACATCATTTTGCGAGCTGGAAGGTAGCGGGTTCGATTCCCTATGAGGTCAATCAAATTTTCAATTGACCTAATTCTTCTAGCCACACTATATCCCTGGGGTTGACTCAGCCTTTAACAGACATGAATACCAGGGATCTTCCTGGGGATAAAGGGTGGCTGGCACACAAGGCTGACAGCCTCACCGCCATCTGTGAGCTAGTATTCTAGAAAATGTGGTAGCCTCCATGTCTTACAGCCATATGGGCCTCAAAGGCCTGTTACAAAGAGTGCTTTACCTTTTTTACATCATTTACTCTATTTCCGAGACATGTATTAGTGAGTTTGGTGTCATGTATCTTAACTTGTAAAAGACTGCTTAAATTTTGAAATCACCTAATGTGTGGAGTTATAGTGCTTGCTGAATAATAGGATGAAGATTATAGGTAGGTAGTCCATCTTGCAGATCTACTGGTATCAGACTGGTATGTCATTATGCCAATTTATTTTCAACCTGTTAACTCTTACATCAGTCATATTCATAGTTTTTGGCATCCAGTTGGTAATGCCCACTTCAAACAGTGACTTCACTGAAGAGTTCTCTGTTCTGAGCTAATGTCATGTCATCTGTTGAAAGTCAATTGATGTTTTGGGAGAACATATCGCCACCATCTTCAGGGTTGAAAAGCTGCTTCAGACAGGTTTCTTGCTTGGCTTGCTCTTCAACCCTAAAGATGGAAGTAACATATTCCTCAGATGGTTTTCAGTGGAGTATGTGGCATTATGTTGTAGAAGATGAATTCTTTGTAGCCACCACTGTGAGAATCTCAATTCATACAATGACTTCATTAACTTCTAATCACAAACAGGCTAAAAAATTTGTTTACCATTACAATGAATACATGGAGTGCTCTAGTGAGATCAAAATTGGGTGATTGGAAGAATAGAATTACCTGACCAACCATTATATTTAATTTTCTTGTAGTGTGTAATAAAAATGAACATGGAGCTGGGATAGTTCAGTTGGTATAGTGACTAGTCTATGGACTGGACAATCTAGGAGTCAAGGTTTGATTCCTGGCAGGGGCAATAGTTTTCTATACCTCATAACACCCAAACTAGCTCTTGGGCCCACTGAGCCTTTTAAACAGTGGATACCAGCTGCTGTTTCCCTGAGGGCAAAGTGGCAAGGGTGTGAAGCTGACTGCTCCCATTTACTGCCAAGGTCAAGAATGGTAGAGCTATAGGCCCTACCACAATTCTTTCTTATGTCTTCATGATGTGGTGCTTAAACAGTTAAGCCCAGGGATAACTTTACCTTAATAACAATGAACATTGCAATCTTAATGCTGGTTGTTTATCCATTTGGTATAAGTGGACTGTTCAAAAAGTTTCAGAACTTTTGAAATAGCATGTCAACTTGACATCTTAGTAATGTTGGGTAAGTTGTACTGCCTAGTGGTGTGCTTCCTAATTATCATCCTTTTTGCTGCATCATCCTGCTGTGATTAGTCATCACCCTAGAACTATCTGTTCACATGCATGTAGAGTGTCTCCTGTGATTTTTGAGATGGCTGATAATCATGAGCAGTGTATTAACATTAAATTTTGCTTAAAAATATGGAAAACGTTTATGGTAATAAATGCATGAGCCATGCACATCATGAATGGTTTAGATGGTCAGCAGTCAACACATGACGTTTGGGATGGCCCTCAGTGTTATATGACAACGCTCATGTTGCACAAGTTTGTAAATTATGTGTTCTAATCATCATTTGACAGTTCAGGAAATAGCAGAAGAGTGCAACGTATCAATAGGATCATGTCTTGACATTTTTGTGACAAAATTAGAAACACATCAGGTAGTTTCAAAGTTTGTCCTATGACTTCTGACACAGGATCAGAGGGACAGTCACGTTGCCATTTATTAGGAACTTTTGGGTCACGCTAGTGAGGATAAAAAGAAACTCCATGGTTTTAGCCCAGTGGATTTTAGCTTGGGTTGCCAAATAGTACAGAAGTCGGGAAGTTCAAATGAAATTATGTGTATCTTGCAGGAACTAAAACCATTGAAACTGCAGGAAAATTTATAGGATTAAAAAAAATATGTGAAAACATACATGTTAGAATGTAAATATGATATTTTGTCATATTTAAATGGGTCTGAGGCTTCAGAGAGTTTTAGTGTTGCTGCTTACATGACATTGCTTGTGTTATTGCTGCAGATATTCACATGTTGCAAGCGACACGACACTCCCTGCTGGGCAGGACACCTTGTCTGCAGCTACAGAAGTCATTGCTGAGTTGTGAAGAAAGCACAAAGCAACACAAGAGAAAACAGACTGACTCAGGTGTGAAACATTTCGTATTGCCATTGATTGAAAACACAATTGTCCTTTAGAAGGGGTTTGTGGAATTGCTGTTATATAACTTTTCACTTGACAAGTGTCATAACTTTTGATCTAAAACCGCAGGTGTGGACTTGAGGTTGCATCAAAGGGTACATATAATATATTTAAATACATGATCAAACAGAGGTTGAAATAGCCTAAAGTACTTTTCTGTAGCTCATTTTGTGCATGGGGTACATAAATTTTGTTTAACTATCTAAAGCTCAGCAGTAATTGCATGAACCTCCTTTGGCATATTCCCAAACAGTGCATTTATGTGTTTCCTACTATTTTCAAAATGTATGGTGATTATTCTCCTGAACAACATTAGCTAATTTTTCTTTCTAATTCATACATGTTTCCTGCAAAGTAGGAACAAAGTATCCATTTAATATTTAGCAGACATTAATGCTTTCTGGGATTAAAATGGAAACATCTCTGTACCTTATTGTGTTTATAATGTATGATCACACGCAGTTTGAGGTAAAAGTTAAGTTGGTGCTGAAAAGGGGTACATGGTGTTTCACACTGACATAAAGGGGCATATGAAGTTCCACTCTGAGACTAAGGAATACATCAACTGAAGAAGGTTCAGAAATGGAGATGTGAAAGAAATACCAGACAGCCAAGCAGAATGTATCCCACTATCTTTAGGAAGTGCATTCATGTTAAAATTGCTTCTGTGTTATAGACCTCAGTCTCCATTTCAGTGTTGTCATTCATAGGGACATGTAGTGACTGTTACCATGTCTCAGACCTCTGCTAATTTCTTCTAGTCATAAGTTCCTGATTCCACTGTTGCTCTTAATCACCATGATAGAGCTTCAGTTTTCTGTTTGTGCAGAACTGATGGTATAGTTTGTAGAAATGCAGTATTATTTCTGCTTGTAATAGGAATCTGTGAACTGTTACCTTGCACCAGAAGTGAGGTTTATTCAGGGCCCAGCAAAAGGAAGGCTCTCCATTTTGCTGAGGACAGCGGCTCTCTCGGGGAGATCCTTCAGGTGGCAGAGATGGAGCTACAGCGCCTGGAGTCCCTCAAGATGATAAGCTCTCAGAAATCAGCAAGGAAAGAGCTTTTTCCAAGGCACCTTTCAGATTCATGTATTATTGGGGTGAGAGAGGACTTTTTGGGTAGTCATAGTAATGGAGTGCCTGCTGAAACAAAAAATACAAACTTCTTTCAAGCAGCAAAAGAATCAAACACATTGAAAACACAGAAAATGGGAGGATTTCGTCATAAAAGTAATATTTTGAACCTGCCAGTTTCAAGGAAGGAATTGAAAATGACGCGGAAGCTTGTGAGAGTGGCACCACTGGAAGCACCACTGTTCACCAAAAGAGAATGTCAGGTTGTGTTGACTTCAAGAGACATGGATTGTTCGATTGTTCATGACATGAATGGATCTTCCAGTGTTAATGCAGGAGGGAGGCCAGGCTCACAAAGCATCCAGTCACCTTCAGTCTCAAACATGGCAGATTCTCCAGTTTTGAATGAAGCTCCATTCATTGACACCACTGTGACAAAACCTTTGCATTTGAACACGTTTTTGCAACATATACAGTCTTCTTCTCACATAAAATTATCTCATGGTGTTCTACATACTTTGAATGAAGCTTCAGTTACAAATGTTGGCAGCATTATTCCAAAAGCGTTGCATGTCAGACAGGGAACTAGTGTGACTGAGTTGAAATTTCCAGCATTAACACAGTGCCATATTTTACCAAATAATATATCTGGAAATGTGATGGCCGATAGAATTGGTGGCAGTATGTTGGTGCCATCACTTCCTGTTGTTCCAGAACAAACCAGCAAACTTGTGAGTCCTGATGCAGATGGCAGTGCTGCTGGAACATTGCCTGTTGCTGAACTTTACGAGGCCGTCTGCATTGGGAATATGGTGGAGTTAGTCCCTTTGTGCAATAATTCCGTGTCACTTGTGAAGCAATAATGCTTCACTGACACTACACGTTGTGATAGAAATTCATGTGATTGCAAATGTTACACATATCCCTGCTTATTTTGCCCCATGTATGACAAATGTTCAAATATGGACACATCAAGTTAAACTGTTTGGGTAATATGTAAATTGAACATACTGATGCAATTTTAGTGACTATAGACAAGGTTTGGGTTGATGACCATATTTATTGGACTCTTTGATATGGTGCATGACTATGCTGTGCAGTACACACACCCACTAGTGTCCACAGTTACATCTTTGCTGCCGTTGCTTGGTAGCAGCTTCCAGTGGCGGGTGTGCCCCTTGCTCTGGGTTTGTGAGCTGTCCCTGGCCTCAGCTACCAGCTTCTCACAGCAATTGCTCACAAATGAACCCAAGTGGCATCTAACTAACTGCAACTCCTAACTTCTCCTGCTTATAACATCTTGGCATGGACCGCACAGAAAATACCATTCCTCTGTTGCTGTTTATGGGCCACTGCCTAGTAACAGCCATTGTATATTTGCTTATTTTGCGGTCATTGACTAGCAGTGGGACTACATGCCACAATACAGTGCTTGTATTTGTTTCTTCATTCAAGAATGGAAAGGTTTGTTAGAATATGAGGGTTCTTTTGTTATCGCGCACACGTCACCTGCTGGGTGTTAGGAACATCTGGAAAGAGAGGGTTCTGGTCTTCTGCAGTATGATATCACGTGCACGGATATCCCCATTTGAAGGAACCTATGCTTCAAAATGTTGGACTCTGTCTACCAAACTGTACAGTGTCACATTCCAAAAGACTATCATCTCAATATTCACCAGTCTGAAAACCTAATTTCTTGTGTTCTTTTGTAATGTAGATCTGTGTAAGTAGTGGTTGATCCATAATTATATTCAGGATTACCGGGTTTTTGGACTGTGTCCATTGTCTAGTATATTAAAGAGCACAACTTCTCTGGAACCGAACCTCTTCCCATCCTCAGGTGAAAGGGTGGGAGGCACCTGCCCTGTTGGGTTCAATAGGAAGTGCTAATCTGTCACTGGATGATAACTGGATTGAAGTCAGCTCTTACCAATAGATAACAATTATTGTGTTTCTGCACTTTATCCATCATCATGTTTTAATTTAAAACACAAAATGTTTTGGAAAGTAGATTCTGTCTCCATCTTCAAGTAAAACCTACCCAGTTGGACCCATTTCCAAACCAACTCTAGCTCTATCAATTGGGCCCAACTAAGTAGGTTCCATCTGAAGACAGAGACAGAATCCAGTCTCTGAAATGTTTGTTTTAAATGAAAACAGGACGATGGATAATGTCCAGAAATATAATTGTATTGATAGACCATCATCACAAACTTTCAGATCTTTCCAGTAAAC